TGATCTGAGTTCTTTACAGCGGCCCGTACTTCGCCTCGTACCGGGACAGGATGTTCTTGCAGCGACCACAGTCCTTCCGCATCTCAGACACTTGCCGACGCAGTGCTGCGTTCTCCCGCTCCAGGAAGGAGGCGCGCACAGTGATCTGGTTCTCCTTCAGCCGCCGCGCGTCACGAGAACGCTTCGCTGCCACGTTGTTCTTCTTTCTCCGGGACCAGTATTTGTCATCCTGGGGTAACAAGAGTGGAAGTGGATGAAATAGACAGAACGGGAGAGCTACAGTTGAACATAACCAACGTTAGCAAAGGGATTTGAAACGAACGAACATCTGTGTTGTGAAAACATCCCCCCCCCCCCCCCAATCTTTGATCTCTAATCCACAAGCCACCACTGTGTTTGCAAATGCCTTAATCTTTACCAGGACACCCAGTCCAACTGCAATCACAGTGTGTCGTCGCTTTTAGTAGTCAAAAATAATGTCAACATGTTTTTTTTTACTTGTAAAAGTTCTCTAGATATGCTGTTTCGCATTTAAGCACCTTAAATATTGTCATTTATATGTCTTTATGACCACTATTTATCAGTTTTGAAACAAACATCTGTGTTTCTTTGGGGCCCAATAGACCCTCCACATAATGTTTGAAGTGGCCTACCTTCTGCTCATCAGGAACAAACACTTTCTTGGCTTTCTTGATCATAGGCTGCGGTTTCAGCTCCTCGTCAGAGAACTTGTGTTTGCGCGGGTTGAACAGCTCTCCCCCCGGCACACTGGACAGGACCAGGTCCGTGGGGTCCGGCTGGAAGTTAATGTCCACCTCGATGGCTTCTGGGTCGATGGGGGAGGGAGTGTTACGATCTGCAGGGTGTGGAGGGACAAGAGTGGGCCTTGGATACAAGAGAGGCCACTCCAACTGAACAAAACTCACTGCCCTCTGACAACACAATGAAATGTCTCTCCTCAGGATGTTACAAGGATGTAATTTAATCGACTCATGTTTGGGCTTCTGTGTGCCCTTTGTGTTCATATGCAAAAGGTCAGCGACTGCCAGAGTTGATCATCCCTCTCACATAAAGATTTCTATTGTTGTTGATGTTTTGGTCAACAGGCTTCATAAGGTAATGATTCTCAACAGAGCTGCATGTTTTTGGTGTTGTGCTGGCCGTCTGTGAAACATATTAAGGCTATAGCATGGAATCAAAGGTCAGGGTTTTGTCTGTGTCTACATGTGCAATAATAGTTACTAATATTATGTAATAATGATGTAATAATATGTTACCCCAGTGTCTACGTCTACTAGAGACACTAAGAGTACACACTACGGCTAGACCTATGCAACTTCAGACGGCTGAAACAAATGGCATACTTCAGTGTTCAGCTTCTAGATACAGAATTTAAGAAGTTGTTTTTCTATAATGATTCAGTCTAGCAACAGGAAAGAGTAATAAACAGTATGAGTTGTCTTAAATCCCATTAATAAGAACTGTCCAAAAAACACATCCAAAATACTATAATAAACCTATATTTCTCACCTGTTTTCTTCTCTTCCACTTCTGTTGTTGTCTCCCCAGACAAAGATTCCTCTTCTTCGTCTTCTTCTTCTTCTTCCTCCCCCTCCTCCTCCTCCTCCTCCTCTTCTTCCTCCTCCTCCTCTAGCTTCGCTGGTTGTAACGTAGTGACGGTCACCGCTTCCTCTGGCTCAGAGGTGACCGTAGAGGTGGAGGAGATAGACGGGGTTGGTGCTGAGGCGAGGTCAGGGGCGGCAGCAGCAGCAGCAGTAGTAGTAGTAGTAGTAGTAGCTGTAGGAGTAACCTTGGGGACAAATTTTCCTTTGAATCCCACTGAGGCCAGAGTCTTCTGTAGCTCCGCCTCCTCCAGGGTCACAGGGATCCCGTTCTCCAGGAGGAACTCGTCCAGGTCCATGTACTCCAAGTGGAAGGTCTCCCCGTCGTAGGGAATGGTCTTCTCCCAAATGGCCGGGGTTAAGGAGGCCGATACCCCCCCACCGCCTCCTCCTCCTCCTCTAGAACCTGCACCAGCACTGGCTGCTCCAGCCCCGCCTCCCTCCACATCCTCAGAGGAGCACAGCTTCTCCTTCTCTATTTCTGCAGACAAGACATAAAAGAAAGTGGTTAAATAAATAACTGCTTAATGTGAGAGACATGTTGTCCTCTGCACACATGACGACAGGGGTCCTTTCAGAGGGTCTCAGACAGGTGCACACACAGGAAAAGCTCATCAGCAGACAGATAGAGGCAGGGTGGTGAGGTGGGGGGTGTGGTAGTGGTAATGTGACATCTGACAAAAAGAAGAGGGCTTCAAACAAAAAGCCTGTCAATGACTTGGAAAGTGAGATCATAGAACAAAAGACAGAACGAGGAGTCTAGGAAACCAGAAAGTAGACAAGGAAAGGCACACAAAAAAATCGGGAAAGGGGCCTCGCTTAGTACACACGTGCACCCACCACCACACAAACTCGGTACCAACCAACACTAGACCAATGCATTATCTTCCCAGCCCGCGTGCGCGGCTTGAAGAGCAGCAGAGAGGAGCTGGAACTTTATGTTCTCTTCTCGTTTCCTCGCAGCCTCAGATGAGACTGGCTCCGTGCAACATATGGCGTGACCGTCACATCCTAGTTTGATGCACGGCCGTCATTTAATCCAAATACAATTAACGGCCCGAGGTGTTGATTTGAATTATTATGCGCATTTAACCGAATAACGTTTTCGCACATACTGTCGATAAACACGGCAGAAACAATCGGGGAAACTGAGCGCACCTTTTCGCATTTGTCTCTTACCGTCGTCTCCTTCCTCCAGGATGTTAGGAGGAGGGATGTCCATGATCTTCTTCAAAACAAAAGGAAAGGACTTCTGCGGAGCCGTGGTATCGACCTTATCGCTGGGCTGAAGCACCACTGTCACCTCGGCTTTGCCAGACATGGTTCCTGCTTAAGTCCGATCAGACCGGAGTGATGTCCTTAACGGTACCGAGGGGGGCTGCCTCCTTCACCGGTAAGAAACAGCAATAAACGGAACGCAGGGTGTCGCTTCTGTCAACACTAGTGCCGTTATCAACGCTTTTAGGAGGCAAAAACAACAATACACAAGCCCCTTGTTCTCTGTCCCCACCGAGAGCGCTTGTTGGATATTCATGAGCCAAGCGCCCCGCCCACTCGCAGAATAGTAGAAGCTGATTGGCTGTCAGTGCTGTCCATGTTAACGTATGACTGTGATTGCACAGCGTGTCTGTATTGTGGTCCATGGGCTTCTCATTGGCCGCAACTTGTCCACATGAAGATCAATTACATACGAAGACTGTACAGTCCCTTATTAGTCACAGTCTATGGCACAGTCCAGTGGGGAACGTGGGCCGCGATAACAACATACAGTCTCGTGCAGCAAGCCAGCATATATTTTAAGTGGAATGTGTACTCGCGCATACAACCTCCAGGGAAAGTAGCGGGCAGCATCCTTCTGAAGCGGATACATTACATAATGATACATTTGCACACTCTCATCATGACCACAGATTGAACTGCACGCCCCTCGATACACCCTAAAAAAAATACAACGCAGTGTGCTCGTGCAAAGACTTTTTGTCACTTCCACATCCCCTCCGCAAGGATACTCGTGGCAAAACACGTGCCCCCGCCCATATCGTACTCACGTGAAAGTACAATCTGTTGAGGGGCGTAGCTTCAGATCTTAAGCACGTGCGGGTTAAGGCGAGCCGGAGCGGGCACGCGCCCATCGTTCGAACAGCTGGCATGGGGACAAAGTTGACAGAGTACACGCTCGTCACCAACCAGCTCTAAACAATTCTACTCGCTTTATTTATAATAATTTACCACAATTCGTTTATTTATATATTTAGTTTTGTATATATTGTTTTTAAGTTCATGGTATGTTTATTTATTTTTTGTAAGCTGCAAGTTGTTTTATGGTATTATGCCATCCATCATTTCACACTACCGTTATTGTGGACGAAGTACATTGTTATGCTTTTTAAGTATTCCACAACACTAGAAGTGCCACAACAAAAGAGTAAATATCACGTTCCCGTGCTGCAATATTTAGCGCGCAAGCCTGTCGTTCTCTACAGTAGGATTGTTTGTTTCAGGAACATTGTGTTCAAACGGCACAAACACCCCACATTCACCCCTTATTTGTGTTTTTTTTTCACAAATTCACCACCGTAGCTACACGGTAAACAAAGTGCAACGTTTCTGCAAAATGCCATACCCACTTTACGTGAATCCTTTAATGCTGAAATACAGAATACCGAAAACCAGAGGTTGTCTTTTAAGTATTTATTCTCTGCGCAGAGAAGGTTCAATCATCACAACAGAATGCGTGCAGTCTCAGTGAGGAAGAAGAACCCCGTACCCCGTGTAATGTGAACGCGCTTTCTCAGAAGGAGCAAAGGTGGGGGCCAATGTTACAGACATTTTGGTCTCAGACTGATAGAAACAACAATGAACAACAAACGACCAGCAACCAAAACAAACGGCGGGACGGCCTTGGCGCTGGAACATTCTCATACAACAGAGTTACGGTTGCATCTTTGCACGCTGGCAAGGCTGAATTCTTCTTTTGCACAACAATAAGAAAGACACAGTGAAGTTCAACTGAGCTCAGAGCAAACTAAGTAGAAATATATACTATATGTTTACTATACTACATAGAAATATCTATACTAAGTAGAAATATATACTAAGTAAAATGTACCATTACTCTGTCTGTCTAAAATGTGGTTTGAATGTTGCTATCTAAAACCGGCAGGGTTGTTGATAATGACACTGACAAGGTGAAAACCTATCTTTGAGCTAGTCGACAGTAAGGTTGCTGGTATTTCATCCATAGTGCCGGTCAACGGTACTGAAGTACCCTTAAGCAAGGCAGCAAATTGCTTTGTGAATGCAGTACTGCAGGAAACCATGTCCTTTCATTTCTCTGACACATTTAGGACAATCTTATTTTACTCTAGAGTGGTTATAGTGCAATCCAGTTCACACATCATTTCGTTTGCAAATTGACTGTTTTCAGTTTACTGTTGTAGGAGAAACAATGTATGCGTGTGCAATTATATTCCTTGCTTAAGAGTTTAGTTCATGGGTTTGCTCATGTATCATTATAATATTGCAAACATATTCCGTGTTCATGTATCATTATAATCTTGCAAACATATTCCTTGGGGTTAGTGATAGTTCTTGTATCTAAAAAACAGTCGCACATTCATAAAGTTATGATGGGACATGTGCTTCATGTACTTTCATACAGTTCACTAGAGGCCTTCAGCAGCGGTGCCATCGCTGTGTCCCAAGGGAACAAGCTGTCCTTTGTGCATACACTGCTGGATGGAAGCTTAAGGTAAACTTAATAAAAAATACACCCATGCACAAAGAATTGATACGGTAAAGATGTAGGCGTTATGTCTACATGACAAGCGCACAAAGCATTGTTAATATAGAGATGTAGACAGTGATGTCTACTAAACGAGATTCTAAGAAATTGTTAATGTAAAGATGTAGACGTGATGTCTCCATAACGAAGCTTTTAGAGAAGGAGCGCAGAGGACGATAGGTCCAACGCCCGGGGCACATCCAAATAAGGCTTCATTAGCAGATAAATGATATATCTCATGTGACCAGAAGTCCCAAAAGCCCCCCGGGGCTGAAAGGGCATCGTTAATCCTAACTGTATGACACAATGAACAAGATGACGGTCTCGAGGAACATTGAAAGTGGAAGTGGAAGAGGGGGGCGATCATAAAAAGGAAACAAGGGTATAAAGTAAGGAACATTTCTTCGTTTTGTCAGTTGATTCCGGACTACTCGGTTTACTTGTACTCTGTGTGATGCAAATAAACCTGCGTGAACTGAAGAAACTTCAATCTCTCTTGTGTTCTGTGGGTGTTCGTTACTATCATGTGGTATCTCACCATAAGTCAGATGGCAAATAGTTATTAAGCCAGCCTTTAAGTATTAAGTTTAATATAAAGTTAAAGTCCAAGAAGTTGATCATAGAAAAAAACACACTTTGTTTTGTCAATGTTCAAGTACAAACACGATACAAACTCCAATCTTTCTTAGATTTACTATGTAGTATATAACTAGTACTGTGCATAGCTTGAGACTCCTCCTTTGTCAGGATGATGAATGTTAAAGTGGTCATGGGGCAGGAGTAACTGGGTCAGTGTGGCACAATAACCACAAACATTAATTCAATTATGTGTAGTACCTCACCTGTGCTTGTGCAAAAACTTAGTGTTCAGAGTATTTCAGTATGCTTAGTTCCCATTGTTGTTGAAGAAAAAAAAAAAAAAAAGCCTTAGGCCCAAGTCTGCTGAGTTTTTCATTGCAACACATGCAAACAGCTGTTGGCCTAGAATAACAATTCTTAGAATATACAGTCAGTGTCCATGAAGCAGTTCAGCTGGGTGGCCTCGTGGTTTCAAAGGACAAATGAGCACAATAACATTTAGTTTGAACTGTTCAATCTATCGCAGCACAACGATAGCTTGAGAGTATTATATCAGTGTCTTTTTCAAACACTACAGTATGAGCATGAAGCATGGCAAGAAAATGCAGTGTGCTCAACATTTAGTCTGTTGGTGCTGTTAACAGACCTATAATTGATTGATTGATATATATTGTGGTCTTAATATTAAAATAAATAATGATACACAGCAGAAAAGGGGGAATATTCCTTATTTCTTTTTGCATTGTAGCATCTGCACTAATAATGATGTTTAAAGACAAGAAATAGACAAGGAAAAGGTGAGAAAGAAATATCAGGGTGTCACAAAGGGAGCATGCAGTCATCATTGACCGCAGCTAAAGGGAAGGGCAGATATCAAGGTGTTATCTCATATGTTCACCTGGCACAACAAACAAAACAGTCAAACTGCAATGTTTTCATGTTTGAAACATGCAGGTAAATTTAACTGTTCTATATTACACTGTGTAGACTCTTAATTTGCATTCCAGGAGTTTATAGGCAAATTATGTCAGCGAATGCAACATACCTTTTTATTTTTGCGATAAAATATGTTGGCAGCATAGTAAAAGAGCATAACAGCAAAGTAAAGCTATTTTTCAGTGTGACAAAGGGTCAGTTTCACTTGTATTTGGAAGACTGATCATACACAGTGTTAAGGACAGTGGAGAGCCCAGAAGAGCTGCCCTAAGTAAAGGCATGAAGACTGGAATAAAATGATCAGGCCAAAGAACACAGAGCTTTCTTGATTAGACAAATGAGTGTAGTAATCTAAGAGTCAATTTATGGATTGTGAATTTACATGAAGTGATTTAATAACCAGAATGTGATTGTAATGATGATTCTGTGGATTAAAAGTATAAAAGGTTGGAAACTGTTGAATGTGTCCTTTGTGAAACAACCGGCTGTGTGGATCAGAGCAGAGTGAAGTAATTGTGTTACTATTGACCAAATAAGGAAGTGTATCCTGTCATATATCATGTGCAACTGGGTGAGAGGATGTTTGAAAAGGAGGATGGCTCAACTCGACAGAGCAACTCGAGGCTTCAAGTTGGTATTCGACATGGGACTTCGTCCAGTACTCAGCTAAGGACATAGGACATCGTTCAGGACAAGCATCGAAGGACTTTGTCTCTGCTCACAGCAAAGAGAACACAGATCGTGAGAAGGAAGTGGCTGACGGAGTTTCTCATTTCCCCCCCTGCATGTGCAGGAGAAGAAGGATACTGTTTTCTGTTACTTTCTACGAGCCCAAGAGGATCGCAGAAGAAACTTCTTTTCCTTGGAAGGAGGAGTTATTGAGAGTCATCTTCTCCTTCACCACAAAGGATTTACTCCACAAAAAAGGACTTTCACCCAGCCTCAGCTCAGTAAGAATTTCTGTTATGATCAGACCGTGATAAGTTGAAGTAAAGAAAGTATTTGAGCTGTTGCTTTGCCAAACTGATAATCCTGCAATAAATATCTTGCTAAATCTAAAATACATTTAGAGTACGTAATCTTGAGAATTTATTGAAAAGGGAGTGAAGATTAACCATGGTCATAAAAAGTTGACTATTAATGTATGCCTAACATCAAAAGAGTTCTGAATAGTTATTCTAGTTCTTAGTCCACTAAACAGACCCTTAGAGCTTATTTCTACCTATCAAAACCTATCTTACCTACCCCTTACCAAGAGCCTAGATTCATTAGAGGAAACGCAGTGGCGGGCCGTGCATTTTATACCTGGGCCTTCACTGCTGTCCTGCAGCTGAAACACAGCTACGGTTATTATTTGTTTCGTGTAAAAATGAAGCCAACACCTATCTGCAGAGAATACGCCGGAAGTGCGTTTCCTCTCTGCTCTGACTGCAGCTGGGACTGCTGCGCGAGTTACAACCTGTGAGCTTTGGGGCGGCGGAGGGGCAGCACCCGCTGCTCGTTCACGACAGTAACTGTAGAACGGTAGTCCTTTAACGTCACAAAAGTCTCCAATAACACCAGAACAAGTCGCTAGATTTGTCACTAGTAGCTTTTGACAAAAAAAGTTGCCGGTTTAGAAAGTCACCAGATTCCAATCCCTAGAGCAACACTGGACGTAACAATGGTTCCTATCACATATTAAACCAAACAAAAATCCAATCTTCATAAAAACAAGTTGTACAAATAATAATATATAAACAAGCATCTTAAAGCTACTGCAGAAACAAACACATTTAACTTACCAGAGCTGCTGTTCACTATTTAGCTGCTGTTCCTCCTTTCTTTGTTAATAAAGAGTTTAATCTCACGGATGTTCAGTACATCCGTGCGTTTTAGTTCCAGTAAGAAGTCCTTCTCGATTCATGGACGCCCAGTGAAAACAGTCGAGCCTCCCAACATGTCAAACTAAAGATCTGATTGGTTGAACACTATGACAATCAACAATATCGTCCCCATTCACTTAAACTGCACATGGATGCACTTGAGAGTCTGCAGGCCTTGGGCCTCTGTTCTTACCTAGAGACACAGAGGTGAAATCTGATTGGATGAAAGCTCTACTTAAAACAAGCTGCACTGCAGGCAGAGCAACTGAGGAAGACAGTAGCTGTGCAATGAGAAAATAAGATAATGGGAAAAATATTTTTATAAATTATAATACATGTAGTGTATTGAAGAAAAAATATTAAATTATAAAATAGCTCTAACTTTGTGATTCTGTTTAGGCCAGCAGAGAAGGCCTTGCAGGCCCTGACGGCCCACCACTGAGGAAACGACTGATAGATAGGGCCCTGAGGAGGAGCTCCCGATTGTGAGTCTAAGGCAGACTCCCTCACCCCAAAAGAAGACGACAAACTCTCCAGTGGCACCCGTCGACGACACTAAGAGGGGTGCTGTACGCGTGATGGAGGAGACCACGGTGGTCCCGGCACCCGAGGCCGGGTATGGAGACATGCACATGGGGCCTAGCAGAGGTGTTCAGAGAGCCCCGTACAGACAGGTAGCAGAATGGAGGAGAAAAATTCAGGATCCCAGCCCCAGCGGAGTCAGCGGGGTGAAGCCCAAGACTCCTGCAAGGTCACCTCGGGAGCCACCTCGGGAGCCACATCCAGAGCCACCTCCACCAGAACAGGAGGAGGACGGGGAATCGGATTATGGAGCTGAAAATGAGGACGCTGAGGGGACAGACGGAGAGCAAAGCCTGACATCAGTCGACTACAAGGAACCAGACAAGGTAAAATATCTGACAGTGGGGAGCCAGAAAGGGAATAAAAAACCTGTACCCCTTCACTCGGTGTGTTCAACTTCTCAGAAAATTGCTAGAGATGCCCGCTATGGTCCCATGGTCACTAACGACGGGAGAAAAGCCTATGCACCAGAAGTTGGCCAGACAGGCTATGATTTACCAGAAATCTGGTTGGACCGGATCGGGGAAATGCAAGGACTGAAGGTTAATGCCACATTGGGAGAGTGGGCTAATTTTTTGATGACACCAACCTACGCCTCACTCGCGGCCCACACAGAGCAGAATTTTAGAACAGCCTTTTTGGCTATTACACACGATGTCATGCTACGACGCCTGAAAAAAGCAGCCTATACGTTTGCCAAGGAAACTGAGGAGGCAGAACAAGAGGAGCCACCAGCAAAAGGGTGGTACAAGGCAGTGGACATTCCAGGAGTAACCAGGCAGAAAGTCCAGGAAAGCGACCTTTCTCCGGAGGGAAAAGAGGAGCTAAAAGACATCCTGTCCAAAGCCAGTGTGGCTAGGTTCAAGAATGACTGCGGGGATTTGGGTGTGAAGTATACCCACACAATACAAGGGGGTGTTCATCCACCAGTCCGCCAATATCCACTAAATCCTGGAGCAATTGAAGAAATGGGCCTGATAATCAAGGAGCTGAGCATCTTGGGAGTCATACGGGAGGAACCTAACCCCATCACCAATAGCCCGATACAGGCAGTGAAAGAGCCTGAATCGTCGGGGGGAGGATGGATGCCAGTTATCAACTTTAAAGCCCTCAACCGCAGGACATTGGCTAATCAAGCCAGTCTAATCAACCCCCAAAGAACGCTGAAAACTCTGAGACTGAAAAAATATAAGTCCTGCATTAACCTGGCAAACGCATTTTTCTCGCTGAGGCTAGCGAAGGCCTCGCAAGGCAAGACGGCATTCACTCACAAGGGCAAGGCCTACGTTTGGGAGAGACTCCCTATAGGATACAAGAACTCTCCAAAATGTTTCCAGTCTGCAGTAATGGACATCTTGGACGGCCTGGAGGCGACCATATACATCGCCAATGTATTCATTGCAGATGACATGGAGAAACAGCACCTGGAGAGACTGAAAAGAGTGATCGAGCGACTTACAGCGGCAGGATTGAAGTTGAACCTCATGAAGTGCCAGTTTGGACAACATCAGGTGAATTATCTGGGGTTCCAGGTCTCTACGGGCCTGGAATTGTCAGATGAGTACAGGGAAAAGGTGGAGCGGATCAAACCACCTGCCTCGCTATACGAACTTCAGAAAGTGCTGGGGCTCTGCAACTATGTTAGAGATCATGTTCCCAGCTACCAGAGGTATGCAAGGCCGCTATGTGCACGATTGAAGAAGAAAGAACCTGAAGAAGCTCGCCAATTGTGGGAATGGACAGCTACAGACCAAAGTAACCTGGAAACCCTAAAAACAGCCATCAAAGAAGCATTGAGGCTGGAACCAAGAAGCCTGACGGCGAAGCTGGTAGCAGAGGTCAGTTGCAACAAGGATGATGCAGTGGTCAGAGTCAGCAATGAAGATGGAGGAATAGTGACTCTATGGAGCTACACTCTGTCATCGGTGGAGAAGAAATACCCGGCCGAAGAAAAGGAGTTAGCGATACTGGCAAGGTACTGGAGTGCCTTGAAAAACCTGGCTCGGGGGCAGGGTATCAAAGTCCTCACCCAAAGCCAAGTTCATTGGTTCCTGAAGAAAGCCACTGTGAAAAGTTCAAAAGCAACGAAGGCAAGGTGGAGGCAATGGGAAGACATCCTACTGGACCCTGACATCAACATTGGCCCTGCACAGCCCGTCAGCAATAAGCTAACAATGGAGAAGTGGGACGAGACGCCTAAAGGAAGGATAGTCCCAGAAGAGAGCGTGATGGAAGTGGTGCAGGCCGTGCACGAAGCACTAGGCCATGCAGGCACCGGTCCTACGAGCAAGGAACTGCAAAAGCAGCGACTCTGGATTCCTGAACTAGAAATCCGTCGAATCCTCAAAGACTGTGAGTTGTGTGGTCAATACAACACAGGGCCGAGAGGGCAGCGGGTTGACGGACTTGCCATTAAAGGTACCGTACCCTGGCGGTCAGTGTGCATGGATGTCTCTGGACCAATGGGGGTGATTGGGGAGAAAGGTGAAAAGTATCTCTTGGTGCTTGTGGACTCTATGTCAGGATACGTAACCACAAGAGCAGTAAGAAAGGCTAATGGCAAAAGTGTCGTTAGCATGCTGGACCAAGTCTGTAGCAACCTAGGGGTGCCTAGGGAGCTCAGGACTAACAATAGTACACATTTCTGCAATGCCAAAGTGGACCAGTGGTGCCAGCAGTATGGGGTAATGAGGATTTACTCTCTCCCGTACACACCCCAGGCAAACGAGGTGGTGAAATGTACCATTGGCTTGGTGAACAATTGGATTGGAAAAAATGGCAACTCCAGAGAATGGAGTACAAAGACCCTAGACATCGGGGTTGCCTTGAATGACAGATGCAGGAGTGACAGACCCTCCCCCTCGGAGGAGCTGAATCATCGGCCATTTAAGTTACAGTAATTGGGGCGGGGTTCTGAGGATTAAAAAAAACGAAGCTCAGGTTACGGGTCCCACTTGATCAAGGCTGAAGAGATTTCAGCTGACTCTGCAGTCAAGGTCAAGTACGACAAATATGACATAGTTAAGAAGATTTTGGACAGCAACACAGTTCAACTCAAGAAAAGAGGAATCCAGGGAGTCAGGCAACTGAAACCGGTTCCTAGAAATTTAGCATAACCAAAGAGTTGATTCATGCATTTATGTATTGTGAATTGATATGAAGTGATTTAACAACTGTAATTTGATTGTAACAATGGGTCTGTTGACAGAAAGTACTAGAAAGTTTGGGGATCATACTGGTTGTATGTGTCTTCATGGGACCAGGACGGTTTTGACAGTTGAGTCAAATAGAGGAAGTGCTGCTGCATGTGTCAGGATGTGACAACGGGTCTCTCTGTCTTTCTTGATGAGACAGAGTGTGTGCAGCTACCATTGACCATATAAGGAAGTATATCCTGTTTGATCATAATGTGTGTGTAAAAATGAATACTATGAATAGTCATGTGCTACTGACCGAGAGCGTGTGGAAAAGGGGAATGGCTTGACCGAACAATAAATAAAGATCGAGTTGGGATCTGACGCTGGACAGCATCAAGTACTCGGCTGTATACCTCAAGAGAAGCATCGGAGGACTCCGTCTCTGTTCACCACAAGGAGAACGCCGTTTGTGAGCAAGAATTGTCAGATGGAGATTTCCCTCTCCCCCCCCTGCTTGAAACCGGACAATAAATATATCAGAATGGTCACTGTCAATGCGGTGGTTACCATAAGAAGAAGTATGAAGCGGACGTCCACCGAGAGTTTACAAAACTGAAATGTCTACGACACAATCTGAACGAATAAACTTCTTTCCGGAACTACTCTCTCAACCCAAAAGGTCACTTAGTGGTTGAACACTCAAGTACATGTGTCTGGACTGTCAAAAAAGAAGGTTGAGATCCCAGGAAAGCTGCCTTAAATGAAGGAATACAGTTCGATATGAAAGTAGGCTAAAGGGACACAAAGCACATAATTAGTAAAGGATGAAATCTAATAATCATTTTAAAGCAAGTGAGTGAAACGTAAGAATTATGAAGTGATTTAACAAATGTAAAACTGATCATAATAATGTATGTGTATCTGAGTAAAGTGAAGTCTGTGTGTGTGTGTGGAAAGAGCTGATATAAGCAGGGTGGGGGCCTTAAAGGCTGAGATCATAACAGATGTTGGGGTGTTGTCTGAACACATAGATGGGTGTAACCTGAAACACGCTCGAACATTGAGGAAGTGAGAACATCCACAGAGGGAAGTTAGGTGTGTCTAGCACACACACAGAAAGTTGGGTGTTGTTCGCAGCACACGCACATAATCAATGATGTCATGTAAATCACATGCCGAGTGAGGGAGTGTTGGGGAGGAGGGGGGAGAGAGAGCTCAAAGTGTTGTAAAAAGAGAGACTTGCAAAGAGTAAGACGGGATTCAACGCGGGAGCCACCCAAGTGCTCCACGAAGGAAACACTGGACCTCGACAGCCGCATCGGAGGACTTCGTCTCTGTTCACGGAAAGAAGACAGCCGTTCCTGGACAAAGATTGAAAGACGGAGATTTTCCTCTCCCCCCTGTTTGACTTTAACAACCGGACAACAGATGGAGGCAGCCACCCCAAAGACTTTGTACTGAGCCTGAGGGATCGCTGAAAGGACTTCGTTGGCCGCGCAGGAGGAGCCGAAGGTTCGGCCGGACCTTCGCTCCTAAAAACCCCAAAAGGACTTTTTACCACATCGAGAATCCAGCTCCACCAAGCCGCCTCGGCATCGAAAATTAATGAGTATAACCTAAGAAGAAATTGTAACCTGATCGAATCAAGTATAGTATTATTTTATGTGAGCTGTAGCTGTGCCCCTGCTAATATCCTGCAATAAATATCTAATCTGCATTTAAAGTAAATCTCTCAAGAGAATTCATTTGCTGAAGTAGTAAAAGTTCCTCGTGGCAGTAAAAGGTTAAATCTATTGTATGTTTAACAACAAGAGTTCTTAATGGTTATCCTAGTGACCGGTCCACTTAAAACAGTCCCTTACGGTTTTAGTTGTAATCCTAGCCGTTAAAACCTAACCTGACAATTTACCAAGAGCCCAGATCCAGAAGAGGAAATTTGCCATAACTGACGTGACTAGGTAGAAGCGCCCGGCCAGGGTGGCAGCTCGGCCGAGTGCACGTTACCAGTGGAAGCATGGTAGACGTCAGGAGTAACGGTAGTTAGTAGAAGCCAGGCGAGTTTCCTTGACAGAACACCAGCTCGCCAATCTTTTAATAGAGAGCTGAGTCAGTAGGTAGCCCCGTATCGGGCCAGTGAAAAAACCCCCGGATCTAACTCAGAGCAGAGAAGACTCTAGATAAGGACTTGGGGTCACGCTTGACACCGTTAAGGCTGAGTCGACCATATTTTATGACCTATCCTGGTGCTTTGTTTCAGCCTCATTCCACATCCAATTGTAATAAACAAACTTAAAGAATCCATTAGATGATATTCTAAGCCTAGTCGTAGTAAGTACCTGTATTTCATACAAGACTAACTTGTGCTGTAATGTTGAGATTAATGTTATCCATTCATTTTTTTATGCATATAGGTAAACATGTAAATCTACGGTGTGTCTATGTCATGATAACGATGACTATCTATGTTGTTTGATTTATTCAATCTTTAATTGATCAGATTTTATTCAGTGATTTATATCAACTGTTTGGTACCTTTTTGCAGCTGAGATAGCACCCATTTCAAAGATGGAAGTAATTAGTATTAATTTGGTAAAAGAGGTTAAAATAAATAATCAAAATAGTTGTTAAGATGGAGTGGTTTTGCTCTTCCAGCCATAAACTGAACCCTCTTTGTCAAGAAGATAAAGCAAGAATTTAAGTCTCATAATAAAATAATCTCAGATAGAAATATTTTAGGCTTAATGATCTAAATTACATTTAAATCAGAACTACTTTAAAAGGTGCTTCACAATCTTCCCTGGGGTTTTTCAAACTCTCAGCTGAACAGTAAATAAATGTTTGGAGACAAATTTAAGGTACAAACATCGAACGACGGATTGAATTGATAGACATCAATCAATGATATGAGTCACTGATTCTACCTGGTCACATGTAATCCTTTCATTTAGTTGTAGTTCATTGTATTCTTTATCCTATTCATTCCTTTCACGTTGTTTATTCATTTATTTTCTGTTTAGTAGTTTTGTATGTAGTTGGTCAAATAAATATTTCATTTATAAAGAACTTGATCATTCGATTTGTCTGTATATGAAATAATAGTTCCCACACACACACACACACTGGTGACACCTTACCATATAGGCCTGCACATGTAACAGTATTACATACAACATAGATGACTTTACAATAGTAATCAATATGACCACAAGTTGCTGATTGCAGCAGGAGTGAAGTATGTATGAGAGAGTTGGAAGAGTCAATATTTAATCCAATTGTAATAAGAGTTTGGAGATATATTACAGTTGCTCATATACCATTATTTAACTACTAGTTATAATACTGCATTGTAAATTAGACTTAAGTACTTTTAACAGCAAAACTACTTCAAGCATCAAAAGTAAAAGTTGTCATTAGGCAAGCAGAATGGCCACTGGCTGGCTAATTACATTTCAAGTCTGCTATCTGCTTGAACAATATTCTTACCGGTGTCATCAAAGGCAGGGAAGGAAAAGGGGTAGTCAGCCAAGGACCGGAGGAGATCAGGAACGTCGCTCCTGTCTCCAAAGATGATCTGGTTAGTTGACATGATGACCAACCTGCGAAAGTATCAACTGACGTCTGAAAGTCGAGTCCAACTGACTGAGAAACACTCAAACTTGTGAGTCGGCGGCTGACTTCTCTCACTTTTAACCAACTTTGCAGAAAGTCACATCACGGGGAAGCCGGCGCGTGTCCAAACAACTTGCATTGTGATTAACAAGGGGAGCCACACCCCCCGGCCCATGTTCATTCGTTCAAAGATCTGCACGCGCCTGTCAGTCACACCGCACAGCCTACAAGAAAGCAAGGGGCGGGGTCTAACGTGAGTACAATAACAAACCTGTTCAACCGAGCACATTTCTCGCCACGCACGGCCGCACGTGCAAGCCAAAAGAGGTTCGAGGTCTGATGAACGCGAGCGCCCCGCGCCATCTAGTGACCTGTTTGAGTAGTGCGCTAAAAAGGTGGTGGCTGGTTCACAGAGAACAGTTCTCATTTAGTTAAACTATGAGCAAAACTATTAAGTATCATGATAACAATCTGACCAATGTAGCAACACCAGTCTCTGATGATAACATTATGAACCACAATAATACACATATGCTCCACATAAAAATACACAGTCAAATCATAACACCAAAAACAAAGCTAAAGTACAAATCAGAAGTGAACTTGACAATTTTTATTAAGACTTTACATTAAGAAAAATAATTTGTGGAGAGTATTTTAATGGCCAGTGAAAGGCCTTGAACATCCTCTCTCTGAGTAAACTTTAGAATGAACACCATGTTAATAAAACTCCCTGTAAAAACAGAACACAAGCAGAAGGGAAAAGAACATTTAAACGGCTGCATGTGTGGTTAAATATGAACCTCTGATGAATATTCTGTGATGAGCAGTGTGTCTTTGTATCTGCTGTGTTTTTCACACCAACGTGTGTCTTACTTTCACAGCGAAGAGCACTGTTTTTTACTGATGTTTTAGCTGAACAAACAAGAGCAAAACGTGGCTCAGAAAATGTTCCATACAGTAAGATATAAAATATTTAGAGTAAGGAGTATATGGCATGTTTGAGAATGCAAATACATGTGCTTCATGAATTATGTCAAGTCATTTTTTGGCAGGCACATTGTATACACTGCTAGTTTGATCACATCACATTTCGATTTTGGTCATGAATTGAAAACACTTAATTAACTTAAATGCTAGTTTGGCAGTTATTGGCAGTAAAATAAAAGAAGAAAAAAAAAAATCTTCTCAGTCCTGAAGTAGAAAGTTGAATTTCCCAAAGTCAATCTCATCAGGCATGATGAGCATGTCTTCCCTGGCTTTGGCCAGCTTCTGCCTCAGGAAATCTCTTCTCTCCGTCCACTCCTGCAGCTCCTCTAAGCTGTGGGCGTAGTCGCAGCTCACACCGTCAGGACAGCCGTCATCAAACCTGTCAAACATTAACATCGTGTAACCAGCTGTTATCACAATGACATAACCTTCTAAAGTCGATATAGCGCTATCAAATCACGCTTATTTACACATCCAGCGCACACACAGAGCAAAATTTGTATTCATTTGGTAAGTTCAATATGTATTCTTCGTCTCTGTGGGTTTCAAAATACACATTTGTGCTGGCACTGTGATTCAAACTCTTGAAATCCTGATCCAGAACAAAAGGTCTTACTTGGGGCAGAGTTCAAAGCATGGACCAGGGAAACGGTAGCTCCACGTCAGAGCTTCGTCCTCTCCCTCACAGCTGAACACTCGGTCCTTGTGTCTCTCGGTGGAGATGTGCTGCTGCCACTGCCGCTCACTGTTACTGTGTCTACCACACAGATGACAGTGGAAGCCATTCTAAAATACACACACATAGAAAAAAAAAAAAAAGCATCTTTGTTATCCTCTTACAGATGCATAGTGTGTAATTTTCCCTGTGCTAGTACATTTCTACTGTGATTTAGTTTATGTGCCTTACTCACTAACAAAACTATATATGTGACATATGATTGTTACCTAGGAGATGTGGTAACAGGACCATATGGGGTATCTTGGGCTTTTGCTTTGATAAGAGGAAGTAACCAAATGGGGGTGGCAGTTTAACCAGAGAATGTTGAGGTGTGAAGATTCTCAGAGATAAGGGCAAGGGTAATAAAGACGCACGTCTTTGTGCGACAAGGCTCAGAAGATGAAGGCGATGACTGGAGGGGTCAATGGGGAGCTTGAAACAATTGTGATAATGTAAATACCTGATGTCCCGCCCCCCTGTGTGCTGAGATGCTTATAAGCAAGAGACACACTAGATTCTTGGCTCATCCTCTGCAGACTGAACTGCAGTCTGCATGACAGTGAAGCCTTCTCTGGCCAGAGAATAAATACTTTAAAGAAAAACTTCTTTCCTGAATGTCTCTTGTTTCAGTATTCAGTATTATACGACTCACTCAGAACTATTGAATAGTTTTTTTCCACCACAATAGTCAGTAATGTGTATGTTTTAGTTTGGTGAAGCTGTTTTTGGTCTTTGACTTTACTGAACTGAAAAACAAACTGTACCCACCATCAGTTCAGCATAGTCAGTTGGCATGACGATATATTTCTCTTCTGGGACCGGCTGGGTGAGCATGGCTCCGTCTGCTTGCCGGTTGTGGGCGGTTAATGACAACCACATGTCATATATCTGCTGCATTTCCCGCACTACAGGCACAAATAACAAATCCGTCATATAAAGTTAGAGATTTCCATCCCGATTTCTGGCCATTTTAGCAACATTTCAACGATGTATCAAAGCAGCTCGAGCTTGCAATTAACCGCTACTAGCACAACACATCTCTGACTGAGCTCTCAATGATTGAGTTGCATTGTGGGTAATGTAGGTCCCATGTTTGGACAAGAAAGAGGAACACGTATAATATAAAAAAAAGACAATATCTTTGGTTCAGCATCAATTTTGATTTCTTTTACTGTGAATCCGACAAAGCTAAATCAGTGACACTATTCTAATAACTCACAGTCGTTATTCTTCATATACATCCACATCTCCTTCTCCTCTTGGCTGTGAGCGAAGGTGCAGTTCCCTGAGTAGTTACATTTCCTTTTCTTCAACATCTGGGTGCATATCTGTCAGGAGAAAACCTAACGCTGTTAAACACAGATAACAAAGTGCAATACAAACTTTCAACCGACACCACAACAACAGGCAAACTTACACATTTCAGTTTTGAAAGCACCAGCTATACAAAATACAGTAAACATTAAAGACAAGAAATGCAAGAAAACGATTGGGGAAGAGCTCATCAGTGTAGGAATGTCTTTGATGGATCAAAGACCTTGGTTGAAATATGCTTGTTGTGTTAAAGTGCATAAGCGCAGAGGCGGCACACCTACATCATACTGCACAGGGAAGTTCTTGGCATGTGGCAGCGGTCGGATCTGAACCCATTTACTTCTCTCCAAGGACTTGACCAGCAGGACCCATCGCTCTTTAGTCCACCTGAAGGTGACGGCACGAGATAACACAGATATGGAGCTGATGGATCATCTGTGATCATCTGTGATTTACCAGTTTTACATCTAACCGTTCACCGTTATTATCAAGCAGGCTTGAAAATCTCTGGCTGATATGTAATAGGATCTCTGATAATATGACGAGGATGTATTTATACAGTAGAAAAATAATTCCAAACTTGTGCTCATTATCTTTACTCACGTGTGCCTGGCCTTGGCAGTGCAGTACTTCAGGGCTTTGTCTGGTTCACTGATCCGGCCGTCCCGCAAGCACAGAGCACAGGCAAACTTCATCCTCATGTTCAGACTCTTCCCAGCTCCTCCTCCTCCTCTTGCTTTGCTCCCATCACCTCCAGAAGACAGCTGCTTGAAATGATAAATATCAGAATATTATTATACATCATAATAAAGATAAGAGTGATAACATTTCCTCTTCATCTTTCACTTTTCATCTGCCAAAATTAACTATAAAATGAATCTCTAAGATACTTTTTTTTTTTCTTTGAAGCATTTATATAAGCCAATAATTACACAAAATTTATATAAATTAATATAATAAGTTTGACAGTTATGACATCAAAAGCTCTGTAAATTACAAAAGGTGATTCATTCAGCCAGAAGACCAGCAGTGAGGCGGTGTCACTGCTTCAACATGTGGGTTCATCCCATTTACAAAAACAAGAAGAAACAGAGAGGATGCCGGACAAGTTGACCAATAACGAACTGTGACAACTGAGAAAATGAACTATAGAAAAAATAATCAAAATGGTTTCTTACTCCATTTCCTTTATGTTTGCTTGAGTTTTGCTCCTTCTTGTCGTTATATTTTGTCGATACTTTCACAATCTCATCAGGGCTGATACCTGAAAATAACACAAGCACATGCTCATTTTAGGACAAACAGCACAGTCTGTTAATACCCTTCATCAGTGTCTGAATAGTTTTATTCAAGAGTACAAATAAAATTCAAACGCTCTTGATTCTATTATTGTTACGTATAGATATATTTTTATGTGTCTGGTAGACTGCACCCGTGTCGCGCTGCACCCTCCAGGTTCTGAGCTCTATCACGGAGTGGGCATAATAGCAGCTGTCCTCTCTCTGGCAGCCGTACCGGATGGCTTGGCGGCACAAATCCAAGTGGCACAGGACACCCAGCGGTCGGACCTTTTTGTAGTTCACGCTGTGGGTCCGCACCACAAACGCCAAGCACCTGACGAGCAAAGACGGAGAAATCAGAATGTGTTTACGGTGGAGAGAAAGGCGCAAGAGGTAAAGAGTTGGCGTATGAGTGAAATGAGCGAGGATGAGGACTCTCAGCGGCACATGTGTTGTAAACACGCTCACTTATTGGCATCGAAGGTGTGGCGAGCATCCAGGTTAGAGCAGCTGGTGTGATCGTCTCTACAGCGCTTACTGATGATTCTAGGTTTACTGTCATAGCATTCCTACAGACAACAAATACACGACAGGAAGGAACAAACAAAGACAGTACGTTCAGATATTAAGAGATGACCGTCTTTAACGCAATATTAATGAATATATCTATTATGATACAACAAAAAGCTGTGTGAATGTTCAAGACACAGGCATATGAAGATTAATAACATAGAAACAGCAGTGTGTGGTGTAGCATGCATGCTTCATGGACAGAACAAACGCTGGCAACTGGTACTTCTACGTTCAATCAATCGGTATGTATAATATTAAAGCAAACATGACATTTGTTTGTATAACAATGATTAATATTATTCTAAAGCTGTATGAGAGCACCAACCTGACAGAGGAACATGAACATGCCCTTGTCTTCCTGCAGAAGGCGGATGATGCTGTTCACAGGGTCCAGTTTTAAACCTGAAGTGTCAAACAGCAGGTTTCGGTCCAGTGTCCCCCTCCGCTCCTCTGTCCAAACGTCAATCTCCAGCTGGTTGTAGGCAAACGTGCAATTCTCTCCGTACTTGCACAGGCCCAAATCCCCGGAATTCAGCAGCTCTGACGTGAAAGAAAACACAAGAGCTCATTCTGACACAGTCAGGTTCATCACTCATATTTATAACAAGTATCCTCTTTAACCGTTTCCCTGAATTCATACCTCACCAACAGTTCCTTCACATTCAAATGTTTCTGACCAATCAAGGGTGGAGAGGAAATTTGCCTTGTTCACATGAGGAAAATGTAAACGAGGGGTACCATCCTATAAATCCAAACTGCCTTCCCTGACACAACCACAAAGTATGATGAAACTCAAAGAGACGTCACCTTTCACATCGTGATCAGAACTCTGATATCAGAGTCGGTAAAAAGTCCTGCTAAGACTAAAAGCGTGAGCTAATGGTAAAGGGAGTGACAAATGTTCAATTTACGACAGGATGGGCCTCGTCGAACTGACCTGCTACTACCCCCAACATGTGAGCTCGCACACACACACACACACACACACACACACACACACACACACACACACAATGACTAAAATCTTTTGTACTAGTCAATTAAGGTATCAACAAAAGTATTCTTTTTGGCATCAGTACTGAATTTCAGATATTTTGTTAATGCTACTATACTGACACCCAGCCCTATGTGCGGAGCCCAAAGAGCTATTGGGAAGTTCACCCTTTTGCACCCTGTGAACAAATGATTAACTATGATTTCCCTCTGGAGATGAGAACCAGCAGTCTAAGCGGGCCATAAAACACAACGGGATGTGTGACCTCAACCTCTAGTCTGACATCCTGACATCCACTGATCTCTCTCTCTCCTCTTTGCATTCCAACGGTCTGCAAAAGGAATTCACTCATCAAACGCAATAAAACATCCAAAGACATTTTCAGGGTTCACACCGCTACAAAAGTGAAACATTTCATGTCATGTTCCATTTTACCTTCACAATAATGCAGCATTGCATTTGATGAGAGAATACTAGGTGAGTGAAAAAGTACCGTTAGCCAGTATTTAGCTGGTGTTTTGGGCTGTTTTGACCCTGGCTTCACATTCATTATTTTCAAACTCTCTCAACAATAATTGTTTCAAGGCAAAACTAATTTCTTCTGGTAATTTCTCGCATTTTTATGCGTTTTCAAGGACGAGTGGGAACCCAGAAAGGAACTGTGTAGCTACATTTGAACATAAGTCAATTTAGACAAAAAGACTTACGTTTATTAAAATTCCACACCCGATTATGGTGTTTTATGCAAACATACTGTAACTTGCTTATTTTCGACCGCACAGAGAAACACACACAAAACAAAAAACACACAACGTGCATTACGCAAATACGTTTTAGCTAAATTAACAAGCAATGAACAATGAATGCCGACAGACAATTCACCGGAAGACATCCGCATTCATTTGATATTGAGTTACTTACCTCTGCAAAGTACAAACGGGGCAGTGAAGGAACTCCAGTTAGGAATCTGTCGTACTCTGGTCCACTCCGAAGGATAACCTGCCTTCAGTCTACATAACAGAATGTCTCGCTTACAGCTGTGGACCAGGTCCGGCTTGTGAACAAATGTATATATGCCGTGACCTGAAAACCAAACAGGGGAGGGTTAAAACTTTAGGATTTTCAATAGAACAGGAAAAAGTAGGAGTAGGAGGCACCAGGCATTTTGGTATCTCCACTTTATAACAAAATTCTTTTTGCATTTAGGTCAAGGCTTAGCATTTTGCCCTTTCTACAACGTTAAAGAAAAGTGCTTCAGGATGCAGATCAACCCACCTTTAAAGATGCTCAAAACAGGGAATATTAAAGGACATAAACCTGTCTGGATGTTAAAATCAGCAGCAGCATTGGGATCATTGTGGCTTCTTGCTACACTACAGTTCGTTTGAGACGCACCTCTCCGAGGGAAACAGGCCGAGCAGGCCTGCAGGAACTCATGAGTGGAGGACAGCGGGTTAGAGAGCGCAGCCAGCGCTGGGTTCTTCTTCTCCTTTGTTGCCAAGGTGAGAATAAAGATTTCAGTTAATGCCAACAATACAGACAGACAACCACAGAGCTGCTAACTCAAGCCAGATAATCAAGTCTTACTTTGGAGTTATTCTTTGGAGATCGCATTACTGGAGCTGCAGCAGTTTGAGAGCCTGCGATACCCGATGAGCAAAAACAGAAAATAAAGGAATAATTATGTGTTCACACTTTGTAGTAAATGGGCTACAACATGTCCACACACAAGTGTGGTCTTTTTTAAAAGGTGGGAGCACTTATTTAAGGTACAGTAAAATACACTTAATATTTTGTTTATTCTCATTTCCCACTGTACCTGTATCATACATTTCTAGTGTAACTGATCATAAATAATTAAGTTTATTCTGATTTTTGTGTGTGTAAATAATCCTTTCTCTTTGAAAGTCCTTCAAATGAAACAATGCGAGAGCAAAAAAACATCACACTTAAATTGATCTGCTACTTGCTGTCATGACCCCTAAAAGAACAGGCGTCCTGCTTTGCCAATAATATAATAAGTCACCAAGAAATCATAATCACCAGTTGAGCTGAAACCGGAGAGCGTGTCCAGGCCCGTTCTTCCCATGGAGATCGCTGGCAAAGCTGCCACAACACCTTCCGCTGAGGGAAACGAGTCCAGGGCATCGAGGGAGTCGAGCGCGTCCACAGCTTTCACACCAATTTTCAGGACACCACTCTGACCGCCTGGATCAGAGACGGTCTCCAGAGGATCCAGTTCATCCAGCAAATCATCAAGGGACTTTTCACCGGCGTCAAGCTCGGTTTGGGATTTACTTCCAGCAGCACTTGGAGTCGTATCCAAGAAGTCATCCAGGCAATCGAGGCCATCCAGAACGTCCAGCGCCTCGAAGGCGAGTGCTAAGTTTGTAGCACCAGCGCCACCTCCAAGGCCAGAGGTCAAGAGGTCGTCGAGGGCATCCAGTGTTCCAGCTGTGGTGCAGCAACCGACACCTGAAAAGAAGTCCAGGGAGTTGAGTTGGCTGACGGCCGAGCTGAAGAAGGCCGGGGGTAGCTGGGGTGTTGGCGCGGGCAGGACAGACGGGACCGTGCGATCGCGGGTCGAACTCCTGAGTGCTGCCTGGGGGGGGGTCTGGAAAACATGGAGCGAGAAACTGGAGTGAAGATGGATGAAAAAAAAAAAAAAAGTGAAATGAGACAGAATGTAAAAATGTGATGCTCAATTAAAGGGTTACATTTGAAGGTTTTGATGGAAGTTGGCTGACAACTGCTGGGCTATATCAACACTATTCTGTTACATTTATGACAATATTATTACATAAACAATGGATCAAAGGGAGACACTCATAGTGATGACCTCATAGAGGATCATCACCCAACTCAGCAGTTTCCCTCAGCTCTGCAGACCTTGTTTTTCAGCTTATTGCTTTGGTTTTTACCTGATAAACCTGCAGTAAAATACCTGACCAGCACCAAAATGGCAGACAGACAATGTTGGCAACTAGCTGGGGAAGAAAGTGCAACATCTAGCTGCTAAATAGCCAGATATTTCCCTCAGGAGTTGGTGGAGATCAATACAGAGCTAATCCAATATTAGTGAATATTGCACTAATATTGGATTAATGTCACCCCTACAACAATTTGCTAACATACACATCGACTTTACTCGTGAGAATATATGTTTTATGTGATGGATTAGGTATCCAAAGCAAGATTCAACTGAAGTTGAATTTACTGCACTGGAATGAAAGAAAAAGTATGCAAGGTTACTTTTTAACAAAACAGTTACTTTGAAAAGAGGAGGGATGTTTTACAAGATGTGTAATCCCCAAACCTTTAAAGACTTACACAATAGTAATGTATAATTACATGCTCTTCCATTTTAGTAATCCTTACAACCGAGTACACCTTCATTCCCCCATCAGTGACAAAAGTTATTTACTGGTCACTGCAGGACAAACGCAGCACAAACGCAGATTTTACCTCAGTTGGCTCCGTCTCATTAGGGAAGCAGTCGAGCAGGCTGTCCAAATCGTCTCCCATCACCTCGGAGTCCTCCAGAGTGTCCACCTTGTCAGGTACTGAAGAGACGGCAGGTTGGCGGCAGGGAGCTGAGGAGGGAATGAAGGACTGAGGCATGCTGGGAAAACTGACTGAGGAGAAGCAGTACGGGATTTCTTTCAGATTTTACTTGTAAATTTCCTATAAATATTTGAAGAACTTTATCAAGCAAACAAAACACATGTGGAGACATACATGTTGCCTGTATTGTAACGGTAACACAATTCTGAACAAGTCAAAGTGAAGAATTCACACCTGGTGCGAGGCCACTGAGAGGATTCACACCATTTCCTACATGAGCACCAGACTCCTGGAAGTGAGAAGGATTTAAAAAAGCATTTGTAGTAAAATCAGATCAACAATCTGCAAAACATGCATCACACAGATGTTATCATTTAAGAAACCAAAATGTTTGTGTTAGAAAATATTGGAATATTTTTTTAATTTGAATGTTTGGTGGTGAAAGCTATAGAAAACATTGAACTTGCCTTGATGGCTTCAGCTTTCATGTTTCCATTAGCAACATGTCTCGTGATAAGTCCTCCTTCCTGGGAGAGAAACCATAACAGACTGAATATCTGCACCATGTCTTCATTGGAGTTAGGCAATACGAGGAAATATGCAGGGAGACAATCAACAATCAGAGAATTTCCTTTACTATATATATATAAAATAACCTGGGTAACCATTTCTTTAATACGGCATCAATGTGATTTTAAGGTATTCAATTCAGTGGATAATACAAAATTGGTTGTTGGTTTTCAAACAATGTTCAAGTCATGATGTATACATTGATATCACAGTATGAAATGACTTACCGCGATACAAGATGCCCACCCCTAGACTGCATCCCATCTCACCATGACAGAGCTGAATTATTTTACTAACCTTTATGCCGACGTATGGTTTCCGAGTTTTCAGTCCCAGATGGATGGCCAGCTCCTGTGCGAGCTCATTCACCCGTTGGTCCTGTTAAGAGTTAAACAGACAAAGAACAAATGAACACATTGCACAAGCTACAGTACATGTCTGTGACTTGTAACCCATCTAGTACCATCTAGGAAACGTCCCACAGAAGCAGTTTCTCATCTTGTGTCAACTGTTCATGTAACCAATGCTACACTTTTACACATTTTAGTATTTATCCAACCCACAAGATAAGAGATAATTATCCCTTTGGTTTTGAAAGGGGAAACATTTTGTTTTTAAAACTTGAAGGTAATGTCATGGAGATGAGGGTCTTTACAACTACCAAGCAAACTCCATCCGCAATGAATGCCGTGAGCTGTGGCTAAAAGTTTAGCAAACAAGGCTTAGGGTCTACAGCTATGCTAACCCTCTGTGAGGCTGAACTTGAGCTAAAGGCTAACGTCAACATGCTAACACTATCACAATGACAACGCTAACAGGCGGATGTTTCCATGGTGAGACAATATTCACCATCTTAGTTTAGCATGTTACCATTGTAACATTTGCTGACTAGCACAAAAGACAAAACAATGAGTACAGCTGAGGTTGATGGGAATGTCATTAGTTTTAGACATACACCAAAGTATTGGACATACTAATTGTTGACCTGCTGGAGAGCCGAGAAAAAGTCAGGGATCACCAAATCCACTAGGACTCATGCTGAAAGCAACATGAATGTCTGTACAAAATTGTTGTTGATTTATTTTAAATCAATGTCTTTGACCTATTAGCATCAACTCTCCCAATTGTCTCTTTCCTTTACCATTCGAGTAAGGAGCAGACAGTCGGTGGTGCAGTTGTAGGCCTCCTTGTACTTCCTGAGCTCCTTCAAACAAAGTGCCTTCCTGTACAGCGCCCTGCGGCTTTCCTTACACACTTTCAGAGCTATGTCGCAGTCCTTCACGCCGCACTCATATTCCCCCTGTGGGAGACAGGAGAGATGATAATAAAAAGAGCCTCTGTAAGACTGGTATTGTTTTCTAGAAGAAGCCTCATAATTCAGGTGAGACGGATGGTGAGGAAAGAAAAGCCTCCTTTGTAAAAAAAAAAATCGGAGTTAATCGTCCATTTATTATTTAGTCCAAATTCTGTCTATCTGTAGGAATGTGTGTGGAGACAGTTTATCTTAAAACCTTTTCTTCCCATCGACTTTATTAACATTATATATGATAAAATAATTCATATTATCTGATTTACAGATAACTCAGCATTGTGTTTTGCCTGAATGGATGTAAAGGGTATTTTTTTCCCCTCTTTTTTTACAACATTACCTTACCTTTGACCTGCTGCTGACTACTGCAGGTCAAAGATTTTGGTTTTCCTAATTCCAGCGTTGAACTGAATATAGATATTGATATCAGGACTCTCAGCTAAATATACTATGGATAAAACCAGACATCTGATTTTCACCAAAATATTGGACAAACTGAAATGTTGACCTGATTATTAGTTATTACAATTATCCCTGAGGGGGACATGCATATCTGAATCAAATTTCAAGGCAATGCATCCAAAAGCTGACATGAATCCGACTATGAATCACAAATGTCAACGTCATGCTGATGCTGGAGCAAAAGTCAGGGGATCATCAAAGTCATTGAGACTCATCCTCTGGGGACCATGAAAGTCTGCACAAACTTTAAAGGCAATCTATACAATAGTTGTTGTGACATTTCAGTCCGGTCCTGGGGAGAAAAAAATGCAATTCAACCGTGAAAGGAATATGTAATTGTCATGCTATCCTGCTATGAATTATGCCTCTGTGCTCACTGCTTTGTACTATAATATGCTACTTTAAGATTTACATCCATGTCCCCCCAGATATGCCTCGACCTTCCCTTGAACCCATGCCAACAACATCCCTTTGACTCCTGACTGATGAATAGTCTCCCCCGCTCTACACAGCATTCATCTACTGCCTTGGGGTTGGTGGTGCAATCCCCGGTATTGTATTATGTGTTGGCTTTCCTCTGCTGCATTATAATAATTTATAGTGAAAAATATTTGATTGGGTCTTTGAAATGTAGCACAAACTATAGTGGACTAACCACTGGTATGTTAAGATTAACAGATGATCCACTGTTAACTGGCTCTACAACTGACAGATCAGGTTTGGGTGTGGAGAAGCCTTTGTATTGCTCATCACAGCTGCATGTATTTTGACAGTGTCTGTCTGAACTGCACTCACTGAAACAATCGGTTTGCAAAACGCATACGGCGTGTCAGGAACCTACAGTAGCAGCCGTATCTTACCATGCTGTGGTAGGCAGCTGCACGGTTGACATACAAGCTCTCCAGCAACGCATCTGGGATCTGGATCTCCTCTGCTGCAGCGTAGTGCGAGACATTCAAGCCTTCACTGAACTCTCTCACCGCCTGCTCCCAGTCACTGTCTCTGAACGAGGCGTTGCCCTCATCGAGCAGGTTGCACACTAACTGGGTAAGGAAGTCCTGGGAGGGGAGGAAAAAAGAAAAAAAAATAGGTGTGGTGTGTCCCAAAAACTTTGGGCCCAGTCATGAATAAAGTATATTCAAAAATACCACGACGCCCACAATATTGGTTGTTGTAAACATTTGTCCCATTCATACTGGCCATGAAGTGATTCCTGATGGGAATGTCATTGGTTTAGCGAGTGTTTAGTCATTACCACAGTCGTTAAGATACATCGTCTGGAAACCATGAATGTCTGTACAAAATTTAGCGCCAATCCATCAAACAATTTTAAAAGACATGTCACTTAAAAATGTAATTATCAACTTTATGGTGGCTCAAGAGGAAATATCAGTAAGATTCATCCTCTGGGGACAATAAATGTCGCCGCAAAACTTCATGGCAATCAATAAAATATTTGTGGACAAGAAGAATGATTACAGCAACCAGTATATCTTTCCGAGTTAGTATTAAGAGTATTAAGTATTAATTGCCCAGTCTTTGATTGTACATGCAGCCAGGAATGAACTAAGAGATGTTAGGAGAGAAAAGACAAAGGAATTTCAGTGAGAAACAAAACAGAGAGCACAGTGAAGGGTCTGGGATTTCAGCAACAACTAATGAACAGCCGATTGTAGATCATAATGTGCATAAAACCCAAAGCTTAAGAGTGACGAGACAGTGGAGACAGACATAACACAGTATTTGTAATAACAGGTGGTACCTGGTAGCCCTCGGGCTCTGGATAAGACAGGGAAGACCTAGAACACAAGATGTAAACTTGCTTAGGAAAGTACTGAGACAGCTGGTTATCCAGGATATGAGTCATTCGTGGCCATGGTAGGTTTCACTTTCAGTAAGGGTGAAATCTAACAAACAAAAATGCATCTCACTGTATAAATTTCAGAGAGGTCCTTATCTCTTCTTTGCGTTTCTGTCTGGCAGGGTCCATGCTTGTTATCTGGGGAGAAGACAAACAGACCACAAGTGAATTTAATAACTAAGACTGCCCGATGTTGTGTTGATAGTGCCTGTGAGCTGGTGTACACCCACTTCCTTCAGGAGCAGAAAGCAAGAAACGACCAGCTTTGTCATCTCGTGCAAAGACACACTTACCGAGGCCGGGCTTCGTGTTCATTCCGTATTTAATAACTGTATAAACATCCAACATGCAAGCCCCTGACCCCCGCATGTTTCCCTCGCTATCATAGCGCGAGTGTGGCCCAACTTCAGACACACCTACCTAAAGAAGTAAGGAAGTTCATTGAACCAAATAGAAGTTGGAAGTCATTTAGTGTCCAATGGCGGAAAGACGGAGAAACTGTCTCCCGCCGAGAGCTCGAGCAGACGCTGGTAAACAGCGAGCTGAGGAAGAAGAGACCCGTCGAGGCTCCGTGTTTGACTTCAGCCCCCAGTTAAGTTTCGATTCCTACCAGGCCTAGTCCATCCACGAGCCAGCTGCAAACCTCCACACTGGCCCTTTAACAAACTCAGGGTTTACAGGCCCTGAGTGAGGTCTGTCAGGCACCTCTTCCTGTGTACACAATATATTCCACCTACTCACACTCTTCTTCTGCCATCCCTACACAACTTGTTTTCATTCTTTATATCACTCCTCCTTTATTTGACACTATGATATACATGATTGTGGGAACAATAACCGTGCCATCTTTAGTAGCGGTACAAAGAACCAAGTGGTGCCTGGCAGATTGTACTCCGTTATTGGCCTCATTCAGCTTCATTAAAGAATAAAAACGCAACAGCTATAACCATGTAGCTACACAATCAAATAGATAAATAAATACATACATATATCTGTAAATGGATCAATTCAATTCAACAAATTATTTTTTACATTAAATGGGTCAGTAAACCAAGTTTCCATATACAACTACATTAATAACTATAATTAACTATTGGCAATTCATTTATGTTTTCTTTTGATTGAATGTGATCTTTTTACATCAGTTTTTGTGAGGACATGTGTGTGCCGACTAAAGCCTTCTGCATATACAACAACAATAAACCCTGGTTTACTGCAAGACTCAGGCAGCTTCGTCGGGCTAAGGAGGAGGCCTACAGAAGTGGGGACAGGATTCTGTACAACCAGGCCAGGAACACACTGACAAGGGAGATCAGGGTAGCAAAGAGGAGCTACACTGAAAACCTGGAAAAAAAGTTTTCAGTCAACGACCCCTGTCAGTGTGGAGAGGCCTGCAAGTACTCACTAACTACAGGAGACCTCCCCCCCCCCCCCCCCAATGAGGACATTCGGGTCGTCAGCCAACCAACTGGCTGACGACCTGAATGTCTTCTACTGCAGGTTTGATAAGCCTACTCTCACACCCCCCAACTGTCCCATCATCAAACAACCACCTACATCCCCTGCCTCCTCCTCACCTCTCCCAAACGACCCCCCAGCAGCACTGAGGATCTGTGAAGAGGATGTGGGTCAGGAAGGCTCTGGGCCCAGACGGTGTGTCCCCCTCGGTCCTGAAAGTCTGAGCTGACCAGCTGGCCCCCATCTTCACACAGATCTTCAACCAATCACTGGAGCTGTGTGAAGTCCCCTCATGCTTCAAATGCTCCACGATCATCCCGGTCCCCAAGAAATCCTCCATCACAGGATTAAATGACTACAGGCACGTCGCCCTGACGTCTGTGGTCATGAAATCCTTTGAGAAACTGGTGTTGACCCATCTGAAGAACATCACAGGGCCCCTGCTAGACCCCCTGCAGTTTGCCTACCGTGCAAACAGGTCGGTGGATGATGCAGTCAGTATGGGACTGCACCACATGCTGCAACACCTTGACTCCCAGGGACATATGCAAGGGTTCTGTTTGTGGACTTCAACTCAGCATTCAACAGCATCATCCCAGCAATACTCCAACCCAAGCTCTCCCAGCTCACTGTGCCAGCCTCCACCTGTCAGTGGATCACAAACTCCCTGACAAACAGGACGCAGCAGGTGAGGCTGGGAAAAATCACATCCAGTACCTGGACTATCAGCACTGGCGCCCCCCAGGGGTGTGTGCTCTCCCCACTGCTCTTCTCCCTCTACACCAACGACTGCACCTCAGAGGACCCATCTGTTAAACTCCTGAAGTTCGCAGACGACACAACGGTCATCGGTCTCATCAGGGACGGTGATGAGTCTGCGTACAGGCGGGAGGTTGAACAGCTGGTCCTCTGGTGTGGTCAAAACAACCTGGAGCTGAACAAGCTCAAAACTGTGGAGATGACAGTGGACTTCAGGAGGAGCCCCCCAACACTGCCAACTCTCAACGCTGTGGAGACCTTCAAGTTTCTGGCTTGCTATAACCAGAGATCCTTGAATCTCACAACACCGCCTTTCTTCTGACATCTCACATGACGATGTATTTTCAACCGTGTTCGGGGTAATATTTCTGATGTTATTGAAATGTCCTTGTAACATATTTTGCAATATAGCGTGGTTAATGTATAAGAGTGGAATGTAATGATAAAAAAAAAATTAATAACGACTATGTGAACCCAAAACTTGTGGTTGAAACTGCAGTAATGAGGAACTTGTGGTTGAAATGTCTCATCTTACCTTGAATGTATCGAAATGTGGAAGGTCAGCTACATACAACAGATAAGCCATCGTGTGTGCGACTCCCTTGAGAGATAACCTGTTGCTGTATATCTAAAGGAGCTTGTGTGATACATACTTTGAAGCTTTGCTACAGTCTACTGAATACGTAGCTGTGGTATTCTCTTCCCTCTTGCAAGCGAATAAACAGACAAAGACAACTTTGAATCTTCTGAAGACTTTATTATTGATTTGTGAACAAAACTCTCTTCTCCCGATTAACATAGAAATCTTCCATCACAGATCCACAATCTCCCAGGACCTGAAGTGGGGCCCCAACATCGACAACATCAGAAAAAAGGCCCAGCAGAGGTTGTACTTCCTGCGCCAGCTCAGGAAGTACAACCTGCCTCAGGAGCTGCTGATTATTTTCTACTCCACCATCATCCAGTCTGTTCTCTGTTCCTCTATCACTGTGTGGTCCAGCGTTGTAGTCCGATAGAACTACAAGTCCCTTGTCTCCCAGCGCAGTGGTCGTCAGGTTGGGGAACGTGCTGGGTTCGGTTTTAAACGCAAAGAGCGAGCGGGAGTGTGTGACAGGACTGGATTCAATCAGTACAGCTGTGTTGCGGTAATGGGGACATCACTTTCTATTAGAACTATGGGTTAAAGTCTCTGTAATAACTAACGGTGACCGGAGGAGCCTCACTAATAGTAACTTTAACGTTAGTCAGCGGTTTTCAGATGGCCGACTGGACAGGCCGAGTAAGAGCCACGCTCTGTCCCACGTAACGTGCGAGCTAGCTGACAAGAACAAATCCGTTTTATAATCCTGCAACCGCCGGACTAAGTGTGTTAATTATCAAGCAAGCACGTGATATCTTATTAAACCGACGGTTGTCAACATACCAGCTCCACTGGCATCACACCGTTATGGTGTGTTAGCATACCGTTAGCTGCACTGGGCTAAAGCTAGCTGCCAACTGTGTACAGGGGGAAATCCACCCCAAAACAACATTCAACTCTTATGAATGTAGCTCGTGTCTGCGTGTATAAAACCCTGCGGCTGCATTCACGTGTTGAAGGAACATTACAACTTAAACTCGTGTTTTGAGTTTATTTGGACAGGGAATTAGGGTTAGTGGCTGACTTCAACAAGATATCTCCTTTCAATGTTACCAGAAAACACTGACAGTTAAATTGTACACGAGGAGCTCCAGGATTTGTCCCCTACCTTATTGTCTGTCTATTATTCAACGCACGAGATATGTTCCAATCTATAAATTAAATTTGACCTGCAGTGTATTTACTGCAAATGTAAATACTATTTTAGGGTGGATTGTCCCACAGCGAAAACAACGCTTTCAGTAGATGTTTAGTAGAAAGGTGGATTTAGCTTTCCAGAATAATCGAAGCAGTTAAAGCCAAAATGTCCATACATTCCTATCTAATAGTCCTGTATGTTTGGATTTTGATTGACTTGCTATATGTGGTCTGTGTTTTGATTCCTAGTTGGTAATGAGTGCAGAGGAAGCCAACTGTGTCACTGGACACCAGGGTTATCATGAAGCAGAATAAAGAATAAATAATGTTTGTTCCCCAGGTGTCCCGATGGCTACAGATATTGTTGAGCAGTTGACCAACTCTCTGGCTAAGACTGGAGTAGTGGAAGTAGAGCTGAGCTACAAAGGCCAGGGAAGAAAGCTCGATGATGCCCAATCAGGTGAGTGTCCCACATCACTGTGCCAGAAGCTCTGCCTATGATTGCTTTGCCGCTCTAAAGTCTTTGTTTTCATGATTTTTTTACACCACAACATCTTACCTCCTCTGTCCCTCACTCTGATCCCGTTCTCCAGTGGAGGAGATGGTTAAGGAGATCCAGGACTTTGATGATTTGCAGGCTCTGAGGTTGGAGGGAAACACTATAGGGGTGGAGGCAGCAAAGGCCATCGCCAAGGCCCTAGAAACAAAGAGCAAGTTCAAGGTTTGGAGTGTTTCTTCTTGACCTTTCTGATCATTCTCAGTTTGAATCATCACCGTCACCAGGACATGTTTGGTATTTGTACTTGATAAACATAAACTGGTCTTGAAAAAATGACTTAAATCATTAATGAATCATTAACATATTGACAGATTATTTTTCTCTTCAACTAATTGTTATTTTTGTCTTAGCTCTAATAATGAAAATGATATTGTACGACATGTTGAACTTTTGTTTTCTATATAATGTGAGTATATTCAAGTTGATCTCTCAGCTGACACTGTTTCTTCTTTCTCCCTTTTTCAGCGCTGTTATTGGAGTGACATGTTCACCGGGCGCCTGCGCTCTGAGATCCCACCTGCCTTGGTAATGCACTTCTTCCTTAACATCATCGACCTCGTTCAAGTTTAGACTTCCAGTCAGAACGTGTTGAAATACTGCATACTCACCCTGCCATTTCATCTCGTCTCTTTCTCCCCTTGTGTTGCAGAATGCACTGGGTGACGCTCTGATGCTGGCCGGTGCCAGGCTCACTGTTTTAGACCTCAGTGACAATGCCTTTGGACCGGATGGAGTGAAGGGCATCGAGAGGTTGCTCAAGAGCACGGCCTGCTACACGCTGCAGGAGTTACGGCTCAACAACTGTGGCATGGGCATCGGAGGGGGGAAGGTAAGTCATGAGGACGTCTTTTTAAAATGAGGCATGTGTCCATCTACTTTGTTAGGTACCGTTAATACGCACTCAGTCGTCACGTTGTTAGGTACACTTGTACAATCCACTGCGATCCAAAGTCTATTTTTATGATGCATGAAATGATCTTTGACTGATGAAAGGAGTTGAAGATTAAGTCAAAAGCTGAGGAAGTGTTTTGTTGAGAGAGAGATGTCTGTCAAAGTTTTTGATTTATTGATAGTAGCTGGAATGAAAAGAGAATTTTGGCTGTGGATATGTCTGTAACAATTCACATCTGTGTCAATGGACTCCTCAGATCTTGGCCGCTTCTTTGATCCAGTGCCATAAAAAATCCAGTGCAGAGGGCGCCCCCCTCGGCCTGAAGGTGTTTGTTGCCGGGAGGAACCGCTTGGAGAACGATGGAGCCACCGCCCTCGCTCAAGCCTTCCAGGTACAGGACTAACAACCCCCGCTTTGCACGATTGAATACAAATAAAGTGCAGGTCATGTTGTTATTCAAACACTTGACCACACTCATTCTAAGCTGGGAGAGTCGGTTATTGTAGACAAACTGCTGTAGTTTACTGTGGCTGTGTTTTTGTGTTCTCAGTTGATGGGCAGCCTGGAGGAGGTCAACATGCCTCAGAATGGCATCAATCACCCTGGTGTGACGGCTCTGGCCAAAGCCATGCAGCACAACGGCGGTCTCCGCATCCTCAACCTCAACGACAACACCTTCACTGAGAAGGGGGCTATCGCCATGGCTCAGGTACAAAGACATCGGTATCGGGACTGTTGGCAATTGAGTGGACAGTTGCTCTGAGTGAAATGCACCTTGGGAAAATGATTAACCGTTTGCTGTCAGCCCGCTTTATTCATTCTAAAGTCAGTGTTCACTCAGGATAGCTATGTTTAACAGGTTTTTCAAGAGATTCTGTATACAAGAGGTAGTACCAGGCCTCAAGTTTAAAATATACTGTCGATTCCGACGTACAGTTGGTAATTATCTGTAATAATTCTTGCAAATGTGATCGCCTGTAGTTTGAAGCTTTCCTAGGTCAGTACAGTATTTACCATATTCAGTTATAATTTGTACCTTTTACCAAGGAATTCACAATGTAGCTTTCTTTTAAAAAAATCATCCACCAATTTGTCCGTCACCATCAGTTTGACTACAGTTCTACTGATAACTCTCTTTCCAGACTTCGAGGCTTTATCAAATAATATCTGCCTTCTTCACAGGCGCTCAAACACCTACGCAGCATCCAGGTGATAAACTTTGGAGACTGTCTGGTGCGGCCAGCGGGAGCCATAGCTATCGCAGAAACAGTATCAGAGGGACTACCAATCCTCAAGGTGAGTGAGTAGAACACTGCTGAGCTGAGCTGTCAGTCACTACTTCATGTCTATCCTCATTCTTTTCTTTATTTCTTAGCTTTGGTTTGACACTTTTCTTCCCGACTGAGTAAATATTCTGTTTACAGGAACTCAATCTGTCATTTGGCGAGATCACAGAGGAGGCCGCTCTGGCTGTGGCACAAGCAGTGAAGAACAGAGACCAGCTGGAGAAACTGGATCTAAATGGTAAAAACATGCAAAGAGAAAACTCTGCTCTTCACACATCTACATTTGAAGTTTTTTTCTGTTGTATTTTTAACTTTACAAAAATCTGCTTAAAAGTTTTTCAATTAATTGTTTTGGAAGAGTAGGTGACTTTCATTTGTAGAGATGATATTTTTCTTTTTGTTTAATTTATCTTCCCTGACTAAGTTGTTTATATTGATTTGATTTCCAGGTAACAGTCTAGGAGAGGATGGCTGCAAAGCTCTGAAAGACACCATGGAAGCCATGAACATTGGCGATCTTCTAGGATCGCTCAGGTAATCACGTCGTACATCAGCTCCTGTGGTCTATTTATAGAAATCCATAAATCCTTTCTCTGTACCTGTCTATCTTGTTGTGGGTCATGAGGGCCAATAGGTCATGTCTGAGTTTTTATTCCCACTCTACCGTCACATCAGCGCCTGACAAACTGATGCAAACTGCCCCACAGGGACTTTGCACATGATTTAGTTGAAAACCACGATCATTCAAAAAAGATGCTTCTCATCCCAAAATCCTCACTAACGTGCTTTTTAATTTGCCTCAGTGACGATGAGGGCGAGCCAGAAGATGATGACGACGAGGACGACGATGAGGAAGAAGACGAAGACGACGAGGATGTGGATGAGGAGGAAATAGAGGAGGAAGAGGAAGAAGAGGAGGAAGAGGAAAGCAATGACAACAAGGTCAGATAAAAGTGTGGTGATGATGTGTGGCATCAAAGCAAAAGTTAGCCCCAAAAAACATGAAATCAATCACAAATCCAAGTGTAAACTCTTCACACCATTATTTAATCCGCGTCTGTCTGCATTGAATAGTTGACATGAAGTCTAAAGGCCTCACTAGCTGCTGTTGTGTGGACGTGTTTGTTTGTTCGGTGTTGTGGTTGAGTTGACTTTCTTCTCCCCCCCCACAGATGTCCACCCCTGCATCAGCATCCCGGCCGCCAGACGTCTCCTCCTTCCTCAGCTTTCCGTCTCCAGACAAACTGCTCAAGCTGGGGGCCAAGAGAGCGATGCTGATCGAGCAGCAGGTAAACACACGAGTACTTGCACACATGCACTCCAGCTTGAGTTTTTTTATCTGTTAATGAGAGGTACTAAAGGCTAAAAGAAATGTCTTTGAGGTAAATGTTTCTGCCTTTCTCCGTGTCTAGGTGGATGTGTCAGATGCTACAAAAACAGCTGAAGCCTTCCTCAAGATTGCATCTGTGTACAAGGAGGACAATAATGATGTTAAGAACGCCGTGTTGGACAGCATAGGTGAGACACTTGGTCTGCATCAGTTGATCTCACCGTTGGTGTACATGCTCTTGCTGAGAGAAGTGCTGAACTGATGAGGAACCTCGTAGCATTACAAATTAATTTCTGCCTTTCAGTGTCTCGCAGTTATTTTGTGTTTTTTATATATTTATTTATTTTGATGTACTACCAAGTACCAACCTGTTTCATCTAATGAGCTCAGAATTCCTTTCACTCATGAAAACATTTCTAATTGCAGAATTGCATTGTGGTCTGTTAAAGCATCTTCTTTTTTAACTACTTTTCATCTCGACCTCAAAGTGCTGAGAGATGCTAGTTAGGTTGTTTTGCACAGTTTAATTAAAACAGTTTTTAATGCTTCACTTGATCCATTAAGAGTCTGTGCTAACAAGTCGCACGTTTTCTGTTGTGTTTTTTGTTGACGGTGTTAGAATATATGTTTGTAATAAACAGTAATACATTTTTCCTTACAGATGCCCTTCTGAAGAAAGCTTTTGCCACTCCGTCTTTCCAAGGCTACAACTTTGTGTCATCTTTGTTGGTGCTGCTTGGACTTCTCAAGGTGTGTTTAATCTGTTTGCCAAGGCACAGACTTGTATATCTCTTTAGAAGCCTTTTGTTTCCTCTACATGTCTCTTCTCTGCTTATCTCACTTTTGTTTTCTCACTCCTCTCTCCATTGTTCTGTCCTCTCGTCCTCGCCCTCCATCCCTCCGTCCCGTCCTCTTGGCCGCCCAGAGTGAGGACAAGGTGAAGCCTGTGCTCGTGGTCCCCGGCCACCTCCACGCCTTGGAGCACGTCGTTAGACAGGACTACTTCCCCAAAGACAACGTGGCCGTGCTGCAGGCCTTCCTGTCCCGGTAAGGGCGTGACAGAATGAGCCAATCAGCAGGCAGCTTCCAGGTACAAAATACCACTATTACCATCCTCTGTCTTCAGGAGTGAAGCACATGATGTATATTTTTACACTTTGGTGCGCGTAGCGACGGTGGTGGACACTCTCTGGTGATTGCTCATTGATGTGTTGGAATGGGTTTGTTATTTTTGTTTTACTAACTCTTCACTTTCATTGGGCTAACATTCACCTTTCTGCCTCTATGACATACATGAAGGATTCATGGGGATTTAGCCTTAAAGTTATAATCCTTAAGATTTAAACCCTAGCTTTCCCCACAACTAAAAACTGAACATTTTATGAAAATTATAAAGATTCAAATTTGGATGATAATGCTGGTATTTTATTATTTTTCTCATTGTCAATCCCATGAAAAGACTTGCGTTAGTCCGTTTGTTAATACTTTCTGACTTCACTAGCCTCTCGGTGCCAGACCAGTTTCTTTAAAAACACATCACAAATATATAGTTTCCTTTTTGTTTTATAAGAAAGTTTCCTTTGAAAGCTGGACTTGTGTTTTTAGCTGTAGATTAATATACATTTAGAGCTCTAGTGCGTGTTCACAGCAACAGAACAGTATATGTGGCATTGACTCAAACTACAGGGCCTGTGGTCGTTGTAACAAAGGAACATGTGCAGCAGTGTGGCTCACTGGTGTGTTTCTGGACAACAATAGCTTCAGCTACACAGACATACTAGTTAGTATATGAGAGGATCAACTCTTTGCTGGTTTTGGTGTGTCATGGGATTTGTTGACAGTCTGAGAAATACCAGAAAGATATTAAGTTAATGGATAAATTAAACAATTTATTTTAATTATGTGTGTATACACTTCATCCTCTAACTGTCTGTTATCCTTCACAGAAACAACAAGGCTCTGGAGTCATGTGGCAATGCCAGAAACAGCCTCCAGTCAACACTGCAGAGGGTCAGATCTGAGGGCTGAGGACTGTGGATACACACACACACACACTGACTGAACTTTGACTGATCACTGATGGACCTTTGGAAACCAGCACACATGAGCTCAAAAAATAAGCTAATATAGCTGAGCAGCACTGGAGAAGAACAGACTCGCCACTCTCCTTCACAGGTTCAGCAACAACCCTCTTACTGGACTCGGCTTTGTGTTTTGAAGTAGACGATGCTCTTATGGTGTGGAGTAACTGAAGTGCTTTGTGTACACTCGTATAACCACAGAACAGCACTGACAACTTCTTCGTATTCTTGATCTCTGTATTCTGGTGAATCAGACCTTATTCCCCTCATGAATTAAGATGTGTGTGTCCTGGTTAGACACCTGACTGACCGACGCACAGATTACACTTTGGTGCAAACTAGAACAGCTCTGACCAGAAACAATCTGGGCTCAACGTTTCAGCTTTTGCACATTTTATTTAATATTTCATATATGCCTTTTACTATTCTGTTTTTATATTCAATGTTTATTGAATTTCATAATATGGTCAAACATTGCCGTTATTAAAATATCTATTGATGATAAATATGATGAAATTAAGACTGTAAAGTACAATAGAACAATCAATAGGGATGAAATATGTTTAAATGTATTTCCTGCCTTTAAATGGGGCACAAGGTGCAACGTTTGGGGATTTGTGTTGCAAAATAAAGCTGGTTTGAGTGTTTGATGTCTTTCACCGTCTTTGAAATCTTAACTGCATAGAAGTTTTATTAAAGAAATAAATTTAAGCGTTGAAGTTAATATAAGAACATACAAGTCCATGAAAACTGAGCAACACAACGGCTTTGAGCTTTTATTACAACTGTAGAAATAGATCTATTGTATCGCTCATTTTCTGGAAGAAACAGATTTTCTGTTTTTCTACATATTTTGTTTCCTCTTGAGATTTGTTTTGTGTCACTGGGGGGGAGATCCTGATGTTACAAACCAAGAATAGTCGGTTTATCTCTCACATATATCAACGCGTGCTCAATCCGACCAACAAATACAGTTGCTCCCTGTGTTTCAAACAGAAATTGTAAAGCCGAGGTGTTAATTTGCTTTGAGGGGGCTCAGGGGTCAGGGGTCATCGTGAAGGAATTTATCAGGGCCTTCTTTGTTGGCCTGCTGGACCGCTGACAGTACGGACACACTCGGAGTAGAATAAGAAAGTCAGCGGCAGCTTACCGAAGCCTTCAGTTCATGTTACCAAGCGGGCAGTGAGGACGTTCTGCTTGAAGGTAAGACAGGTTTATTTCTTCAGAGTTTGTTTAGGTCAGATTTTGGATTTTCTTGAAACATTTTTTCAACTGATGAGCTGACTTTTGTGATGGTTCTCGTGCAGACAACCAACAATAATTTGTTTTTATATGTATTTATTTAATATTTTAGAAATAGGAAAACAGCACATAAGCAATGTTAAAATGTAATCAATGTGTTCCAATGGAAAAAGCCAAATAAGTAGTGGACTGAATACATTAGCATCCATTAAAAGTCTCTTTGGTTCTCTAAGCACTCGACACTGAATGGAGTTTTGACGACAGCTTTTAAATACATTTCTTTTGTCATGTTTTACCGCCACAGATGCGTTTCTTCTCGGCTGCGGCCTTCTTGCTGGTTTTAGCGCTGAGTTCACCAGCTGAAGCAGGCAAATGTCCCAGAGTGTGCAGCTGTGACGGCTCCAAACTCACGGTCACCTGCGTTGGCAAGAACTTAACAGAGATTCCCCCGACACTAGATGAGGTGAGGAATTCAAAAGTGAATGTTTCTTCCTCACTTTCACTTCACAAAAGTGTTTGAGGAAGAAACACTGAATGGCAACTGTGCTTTGGTGCATTTTAGATGTTTCTTAAATGTGAATCTATATTTATCTAAAAGGAATCAGTCAAATGCACTATGTACAGCGACAGCAGCAAGAAGGAGATAAGTGTCTTGCTCAAGGGCTCAATAGTGCTGTTCTTATCCGGCATACCTCTATCAGCCCTGTCCTTTAATTGTGCATCCCCTCTGCCTCGGATACATCCTCTGTTCTGTTCGATCCTCCTCACAGATTACACTGAAGCTCGATCTGAGGAACAATAACCTGCAGGTGCTGTCCAGGGGGGCGTTCATCCTCACGCCCTACCTCACCCACCTCAACCTGCAGCGCTGCAGCATCAACAAGGTGAAAGAGGGCGCTTTCCGGACTCTGGGCCGCCTGGTTTCCCTGAACCTGGCCTACAACAAAATTGACATCCTTTATCAGGTAAGAGGTGAGTGCATGCCGGTGACACTGAAGGGTCTGAGTTGTTATTTTTCACATTTGGTTTTAAACTTTCAACATACTTATGTGAGGTTGTCTCATTTTCCTTCCCCTCCCTCCACCCTCTTACCTCTGACCCGACCGTTGCAGGAGTCCTTTGACGGCCTCTCGTCCCTGAAGGAGCTGCACCTGGACCATAACCGCGTGGAGGAGATCCAGCCTGGAGCCTTCACACAGCTCGGCTTCCTCAACATGTTGGCCCTCACCCACAACCAGCTGGTTTACATCCCCAACATGGCCTTCCAGGTACTCAGACTTATGGGATTATAGACTTTTTTGACACAATGAATGGTTATTTTTGGCTACATGATCACACAGCAGTCTGACTCCTCCTCCAGGGCCTGCACAACATCAAATGGCTTCGTCTCAGCCATAACTCCCTGAACAACTTGGCCCCTGAGGCCTTCGCCGGGCTGTTCACCCTCAGCCGCCTCAGCCTGGACCACAACGAGCTGCAGTTCTTCCCCACCCAGACCATGACCAGGTGGGACCTTCTGAAGGATTATTATGGACAGTGTTTATGACTTCTGAGCAGACTATAAGGAACAAATGACGCAGCTTTTTGCTCTGGGTCAAAAATGCGGCATAACTAAGGTCAAAGGGTTATTGGTTCTTTGACTTTTTTCCCTTTGTAGAAATTTTAGAAATAGTACATAATGAACCATCAAAGGGCAGTAAATTCGACCAAAGCCTTATGTGTCACTTCACTTTTTACTTTACTCTTCCTCTCCTTGTGAAGACTTCCTGAGGTCACGCGCCTGGACATGAGCCACAACCCCATGACCTACCTCGGGGAAGAATCCGTGTCCGTGGCCAAGCTCACACACCTCTACCTCGACCACATGTCCCTTCAGGACCTGTCGGATCAGGCTCTGTCCCGCGCCCCCCTCCTCTCCCACTTGGACCTCAGCCACAATCAGCTTCGCTACCTGGAGCCCCTCTCCGGCCCCAAGGAGCTGGCCAGCCTCAACCTGACAGGTACAACTGACATTTGTGCATGGACATGGAGGATTAGAGCATGCCATATTTCATCTTCAATACATCCCGATCATCTCTCATTTTTCTTAAAGGCAACCCAGTGTACTGTAACTGCTTCATGCGGCCCCTGAGGGTGTGGGCGGGTGTCCGTGGCGTGAAGCTGCTGGGAGCCTGCGCCGGACCACCTCACCTCTCAGATGAGCCGCTGCAGGCCGTGGCTCCTCTGGATCTGCGCTGCCGCAGTAGAGGGGAGACGCTGAAGGACGAGTTTGAGAAGGACGATGAGAGCACGGGAAGCCTCCCGCCCACAGACAAGCCCAAGCAGAAAGTCAAGTGTCCAGTTAACTGTGACTGTGATGTGAGTGTTTGACAGTGCGCCTCCAACAATGGCTGCTTTGCTTTGCTCTGTACGTGCAGTGTGTGCTAGAATTAAGATATTTAGATTTAAATTGAGTTACTAGAAACTCACTGTACTCTACCCGCCCAGCACCAAACTGCAGACAGACTAATTTAGCAACTTGGTGCTGAAAATAGAGCCATTTAGCAACCAAGTAAACATCTGAATACTTTGTCCTCTGCTGTTTATGAGCTGTATTGTTGTTAATATTCCATTCTGAATTTAAACCCTCCCCAGATTGAATCCCAGCACGCCACATGTGAGGGTCGGGGTCACACCAAAATCCCACGAGGCTTCTCCACCAAGACGCAGCTGCTTGACCTCCGCAGCAACCACTTCCACGACCTTCCTGCCAACAGCTTCCCAGGCACCGGCCAAGTTGTCTCTCTCCACCTGGAGTTCTGCAAGATCCACGGAATCGAAGGCGGAGCCTTTCGGGGAATGAAAAAGCTGTTTTATTTGTATCTCTCTGACAACGACCTCACATCCTTGGACCCCGGAACCTTTGCTGGAGCCCCCGAGCTCACGTACCTTCACCTGGAAGGGAACCGACTTGTACAGTTCCCCGGATCAGGTGAGTGGTTGGTCAAGTCAAGTGTGGCTGGATGTAAATAACAACAGGGTACATATGTGTGTAAAAACACAGAGGAAACAAAAAACAATGCTATTTTCTTTCTCTTTGTGTCTCTCCTGTAGCCCTGGTGCTCTTACCAAGTCTGTTTGTGTTACACCTGGAGCGAAATGCCATCTCCAAACTAGAGCCCGCTGGTTTGCTGTCCTCAGTAACCCCCAACCTCCGGGAACTTTACCTGACCAACAACACCATAACTGCTATTGCCAAGGGGGCTCTGGACTCGGCTTTCCTAGGTACACTTCACCTGGATTCAAATCAGCTGACCGAGGTGCCCACCCGCACTCTGTCCGAGGCCACTAACCTGGAGGAGATCAACCTGTCTCACAATTCAATTCGCTGGGTGGGACCAAACGCATTCAAGCCCATATCCCAAAGCCTGAAGAGGCTTTACATGGATCAGATGGGCATGGAGAAGGTGCGAGAGACCTTTTTTAAAACAAAATGACGGCATTTCATTTAATCTTTAGTGCCCTTTGCATCATAAACTTTCTCTCACTTCAAATTTCTGTCATGTTATTATGAATTGTAGAAATAGTATGTGCAGGTTGTGACTGCGATTTCACCAACAAGTTGCTGAAAGGACTTTTTGAGGCATGGATTTTGAGTGAATGCTTATGGCTTTTTTTGCAAATCAGGGCTTAATGGTGATCAGTTTTTTTAATTGTACCCCCATCCAGATGTCCAGGGACGCTCTGGCAGGGCTGGGCCCAGGGCTGAGGGCTCTGACTGTGAGAGGGAACCAGCTGGAGGAGCTTCCTGACCTGAGCCCACTCACCGGCCTTGAGGTGGTCGACCTGCAGGACAACCCCCTGATGTGTGACTGTCCTCTGCTGCCGCTACGCAGGTCAGTGCAGAGTTTCCCTGGAAGAAGGGTTTTTGCTTTTTATTATACAGCAGTGTGGCACAGTTGGTAGTGAGATTGTGAACTTGCACCACTGCTGCTGAAGTGTTCTTGAGCAAAACATTAATTCCCAATAAACTGCAGAAGAGCTACTGCTTAGCTTAGCCAGAGGAAAGAGAAAATCAAGCGAGAGCTAGGGATCAAGGAAGCATAATCTATTTGCCTCAATTGTTATTAAAAGCTAAATTATTGACAATAATGATGTCACTGTCTGTGTCTCCCTCCGTCTCTGTCTCTCAGGTGGATGGAGAATGTAAGTTTGGAGGTGATCGCCACCTGCGGTCACCCTCCCGAGATCAGAGGTCAGAAGGTCAGGGATGTCAATGTGTTCACATCCTGTCCAGAAAGCCGCTCTCCTCCAGATGAGAAGGTTGTTACGGCCTCCAGACCTCCAAAAGTGAAGAAACCCAAAACCAGCCTCTTGAAGACCCCTCGGGTCAAAGCTAGGCCAGCAAAGCCTAAAGCTAAACTCCTCAAACCAACCAAGAATAAGCCTCAGAGGAAACCTGGGGCACCAAAAGTGACCAAGAACAAGAAACTGTAATAAATAATACAAGAAATTTAAAGTGTTGAGATGTTTTTTTTAAATTAAAGTGTTTAGGATTACAGCTCTGTGGGAAGTTTACATGCACTATTTACTATCCGAGCATAATCAACACAGTAAAGCAAAAAGCAAACAAAATAAAATAAAAGACAGAAGGACCCAGTCTATTGCCTTCCCATAACAGACAAATAAAAAACATAACCACAACTTCAACACACTCAACATTGTCCTATTTAGCTCAGACTGCCATCTAAAAAACCACTAAAATTAATGAATGATGGATAATAAATCAAGTAATATGAGCCAGTGAAGGTGATAACTGGCAATGTTTGTGTTTTTTGTCAAACTGAGCGCAACAGTTAAATAGGACCTTCATACACTACCAGCCACAATCATTCCTTCTGTATTGACATGAAACCTGCATTATATGTGTGTGGGCATTGGGTTCTGCCTGTACTACCCTTCAGATTAAAATGTAACTGGTTTACCTATATATATATATATATATATATATGTTATTATACCTGTATTTATTCAGGTCGACAGACAGGGTTCTATGGTGTAATGGTTAGCACTCTGGACTCTGAATCCAGCGATCCGAGTTCAAATCTCGGTAGAACCTGAGTTCGGTTTTTTTTTTTATATGCACTGTTTAATTCATAATGAGGTAATGACAAAGCATTCATTAGTTTTAAACAACACACCAAGAGCAGCGCCACTCCAAAACTGCCACATCGTGAAACAAAATAAAATATAATCCCAGTTTAACACGCTAATACGCCAACGGAAATTGAAGTTTGTCTTCCGGTTTATTTGCTCATCACGCCGAATTTATCTTTTCAAAATGGCTGCAGCTATGGATGTTGATACGCCAAGCGGCACAAATAGCGGAGCTAGCAAGAAGCGATTTGAAGTTAAGAAGGTATGATTGAATGAAGTAACTCGGAGTCGTTGTTTAAAGAAATTGTAAACGTTAGTCTGCCAGTCGCTACAAATGACCGTTTACTCAGCTCACTGATACTGTGAGCTTTGTAGCGCTAAATCACTCTGCCGTTAGGGCAGGAGCTAGCTGTTAGCCTGCCTCAAACAGCATGAATTTGCACTTCCTTTTGGAAGAATAGCAAAACATGTATTTAAACTGTCAACCAACTGTCGACTAGTCTTAATCATGTCGTGACCACAAAAACAGAAAAACCGTCCCAATGTTAACGTTAAATCTTAGGTAAGGTTAAAACATTAAGCTCTTAATTCTGCAAGCTAATTTATCGTAACGTTAGCTAATCTGCATTTCCGGTAGACCGGTAACACTCACAAAGAGTAAAAACCTGCAGTTATAAGACGTTCATGATACACTTCAGAAGTAATATCGGACTAGATGGCCAACCTAAAAAAAGTTGTAGTTGAAATGTGTGCGTAACGCGACATTCTAATGAGCTGGCGTTAGCAGCTAACGGTACCATGAGTAGCATTAACGTTTGAAGAACATTTTGTCAACCCCGCTTTAAGCATACGTTCATCAACAAGCTAGCTAAAATGGTCGCTGTTATTTAGTTAACGTAAACTATATCAGTATTATGACTGTGTCGCAGATGCGATGTTGCAACTCATATTTGAGTCAAATTCTTAAGTTTATTTTTGGTGGTGAGAATGAAGCAGAGTGTTGATGCTATGTTTTCATTAAACTACATCTGGCTGAACATTTTTAACACAAACAGAAATAAGCCAATAGGAAGCTATATTCTGTACTTAGAAGCTGTCATCACATCTCTACATCAGTGTCAACAAGACAACCTGCAGTGACCGTCTGATAACGTTTGTTTGTGATTTCCCACCAGTGGAATGCTGTGGCGCTGTGGGCCTGGGACATTGTGGTGGATAACTGTGCTATCTGTCGGAACCACATCATGGATCTCTGTGAGTTCACTTTCACACACTTTTGGACTCGTTCCCTTGATACATATTTAAATATTAAAAGACTCGGTCAGGAGCCGTGAAGAGTGCACATCAACAACAAGTTCTTCAGCTCTAATTGCCATTCATCATCAGAGGTGTCCGGCCTGATTTGTGAAATTGCATTGTTGACACGTTTCTCCCTCCCTCATCAGGTATAGAGTGCCAGGCCAACCAAGCTTCTGCAACCTCTGAGGAGTGCACTGTAGCCTGGGGTGTCTGCAATGTGAGTACCCTCCTCCGACATGAGTCACTGGTCAGTGCTAAATGGTTCCCTAAGACTGCATTTCACAAGGTCTCGGGGGTATCCCACACTTTCATTACAATCGTGTATTACAGTAAAAGTAAACTCATTTAGACCATAAGTTATGTTTATGAGGTCCAGTTGTGAATCTGACTTTAATAACTTACCTGTACTTCATAAACCTAAACAAATTTAAATGGTCTCCAAGTATTTGCAGTCTGTATTAACGATGAAAGTACATTTTACTGTTCAAGTGACAGCATCCCAAATACAGGCCGGTGTCTCACCTGTATTTACTAACATTACTGATGTAAACAAAGAGGAGAATTGCCAACAAATAATTCAAAGTTACCAGTATTATTTATTTGGGAAATTGGATGTTAACGGTTACATTGAACTGCTGCCCTGACCTGTCTGTGCCCATCAGTACAGTACATATATATATTAATGTGTATTTCTACCCTGTTTGGTTTTCTCTTACCCAGCATGCCTTCCACTTCCACTGTATTTCCCGCTGGCTGAAAACCAGACAGGTGTGCCCTCTGGACAACAGGGAGTGGGAGTTTCAGAAGTGAGTATTACTACTTTTTTTTTTTTTTTACTCATTCATAGATTTTGACAATGTAAAGTTATGAATATTTCTGAAAGTGAACATCTGTATTGACGGTGTGTCCTTTTTTTTTTTTTTTTTTTTTTTTTTTTTTACAGATACGGACACTAGTTGTATTATTGCTGACCTTTTCCTGCGCTCCGACAAGCATCACCTGTACTACTTTTCTGTTCCCTCCTGCTTGTAAGCAGTTATTTTACGCCCACGTTTTTGTTTTGGTATGTTGTAAGTACAAAAATAAACATGAATGTTGTCACAAAACAGGTCTTGTATTACTTAGTAGGGGTTTCTGACGATTCAGTGTGTGGGTTTGTGAAGCAAAAACATGGTTCAACATTTGCTTCGGTTGTGCGCAAAGACTCATTTGGGACTCGTGTAATATTTAAACTATTTGTGGACAAAAAGCTGCACACAGGGGGAAGTTTGCTCAGTCGGATCAGCTTTGACGCAGTGATTCAGGGCTTCATGAGAGCCGGGACCCATCATGTTTATAGAGCAGTAATCCTCCGGCTGAAAGACAGATGACCTGTGCGGATTAGTGGCTGAGTGCCCATCATTTCCAAAGGTAGCATCTTTATATTGCGTCAAGTTACGTAAGAAAATTCACACTTGGGTGTTTGGCAGTCTTGCATGATAAATGAAGAGTAATCAATTATCCAAACTAATTGTTTCAGCTTTAAAACCGTAAGACTTACAGTGGCAATATTTTCAATTCTTCCACTTTGCTTAGTCCATCTTTGACTGTCAAATTGCAACCATTTGGTTTAGTTCCACCTTTATCAGTACAATAAGTAGTTTCACCAAGTGAGGATATGAGAGAAGTTGAAAGTCAGTGAAACAATACATTTATGCTTAATATCAAAACAATGGATTGAAGTGTAAATCCACATACAAGGTGCTGCCTGTTAAAATCTGACAGTAAAAACATGTCAAACATCAGTGAGGGTCCTCCTGGATGTTATTTTGCCAAGAAATTATCTCTGGATCATTCTCAGTTTAACAGATGAGAAACAGCAGTGGTGTGTGTTGATTGTGCATGTTGGTGTAAAAATCACTTATGTCTGATTGTACAAGATGTAAAAGAGTCAAACTTGTTTTGCAGCAACAGAGGTTTTATTATTGGGAGACATCAGTGACACTTTTTTTGCATTTTATAATAGATCTGATAACAAAAACACCCGACGGTTATTTGAGAGAGTTCGGCTCTGTTCGGAGAAAAGGAAAGACCGGTAGCTAAACCGTTACCGCGCAATAAAGGGCTGTAAAAATATTTGAGTGAGCATCTCAATGCAGGAGCTCCCAGTTTAGCTTTTTTCCCCCCAGATACACGTTAGGAAACGTCAGCCTGTGTTTAAGTAAAGTCCCAGCTGAGACGAGTCGAGAGAAGTTGTCAGACACCCGACTCCTAACCTCGTTGGGACGTTGCTAAGAACCAACAGGCTGATTTAAGAACAATTAAAAAGTAGCCTTCGCTTCCTCTACCTGACACTAAGTCACACACTCCCCCGTTTGATCTGCACACAGTGGATTAATAGTTGTTGGCTCTCCGGATTGATTCGCCATCCATCCACCCTCTAAGGCTGTGGTGGCGCTCCAAATTTGGAACTCAGCTTGGTGACTAGTGCCATGATTTTGGGGTTGTTCTGGTACTTGGAGATGTTGGCTGGGTTCTGTGCCACATCCTGGAAGGCTGTCATCACCTCGGGGTCCTGTAGGACAATAGGGAGTGCAAACAGGGTCACCTCTTTACATGTAGTGCTTCTCAAAATCAGTTTTAAAGACATTCTCATCGTGGGTCAGAAAGGGCTGTGAAAATATTCTTAATATAGCATACATTTAAACCGATAGATTGTTGAGGGCTAAAATAAGTTTATCATTCATAAAATAAACAGTAAAACCAGAAATGTTCACATTTAAGAACTTTGTGAAAGAGCAAAGTCAACATCTGATAAAACTACACCAACAATGTGCTGATGAAGCAGATTAGCTGAGCTTTTAACTCTTAATAAATAAAACAGATTTATCCATTTAGCGCTGCACTCCTCAAACAGTCAAAAATCACGCTGGACATTCTTCCTCCATGTTAAAACTTGGTGCTTGCATTACCCACAATGCAAGTCGAACACTGACAGTTAGAGAGTTGTGTGTTATGCTGGTAATGGCTAATCACACAACTCCCTCTGCAGCCATAAAGGGCTTCATACTATTTGTTTTAACACATGCAGTACTACTCTCAAAAAACAGACTGATGTATACAAAGAAGTTGAGCTCCCCTTTAACTTGTAATATGATATAATACTTTCAGATTTAATGCTATAGAGAAATGCAGTATTTTGTGAATGCAAATTTATGATAAAATGTGATCACAGATTGTATAGCAGTCCATCAATCCCTCCTCCTTTATATAAAACATACAGGTCTACACTTTTCTTTAAGCTAGTCAGAACTAGAAGCAATAACACCGATGAGAAGTGTGATTGTTTCCCCCAAGTCCACACTCCAGGTGTTTTGGGAGTTTAATGACATGAACGGGTGAATGTTCGGTGTAGACAGGATCTCCCCCTGTAGCCTTTTAATCTCCAAGTAATCTACAGGATAATGCATCCATGTCTGTCTGTCTGTCTGTGGGGCACTGCCAAAAGGCTCAAGTACACATGTCCCTCCCCTCAACATCCTCCCCCCCTTCTGTAAGTGGGGATGACGATCACCGCAAAGACCCGTTTCATGTGAAAATGGCGGCATGTCTAAATGAGTTCAGCTTTCACAGCGCCTGTATTTGACTTCTGTATTTAGTGAGCTTTAGTGGGACTAGTAGGTGGATTTTGTTACATTTGAACAGAGCCAAGCTAGCAGCATCCCCTTGTTCACAATCTTTATGCTAAGCTAACAGGCTTCATTATTATTCATTTAAACTTGAGTAATTATCAATCTAATCATCTAACTTTCCGCAAGAAAGCGAGTAATGTCGACCTATTCCTTTAAGACCTGCACAACCCAAGTCATGTGGACGTGGAGGACTAATGCCGTCACCTTCATGGCGTTGAGCAGCTCAGGATCCTTCAGGAGTTCACCGAGACCAGGCATGCCGGCGGGGGCTCCTTCAGGGAATCCAGCAGGACCTGCAGAAAGTCATTCATTACTTCACTTGAAGGGGCATCACATCCGTCTGATAAACCAACGGTGAATCCAAACAGCACAGAGAAACACTTTGGAATTTGGCCGGAGAGAGATGTAAATACGGTACTCGGGAGAAACTAAGGAAGGCTACAAACAAATTACTTAAAACAAATACCGATCAATGGATCAATAAAATAATCAAAATATGTAGAAAGAGTGAATTATTTTCCACAGGGTATAATCTTTATATTTGCGTCTTCTAATATGACATTTGTAGTTTTCATCTCGACCCATGAAGCAATAGACTGGCTGGTTTTCCTTTCTCCTACCTGGGAAGAATCCTCCTCCTCCACCTCCACCACTTCCTCCTCCTCCTCCTCCACCTCCGGACTGCCGTGCTTCCTCCTCCTGTTGAAACACAAAACAATGGGAGGAGTTACTAAGTGTCCGAAGGGTCAGGAGAGGTTTCCTCTGTTCGTTCTATCGAAAACTCTTATTATGAAAATGTCAATGGCGTTCTCTTTGAGTTCAAAGTGACGAATACGAGAATGTAGATGCTGCAGTTTCTCATGAAGACAAAGCCTTGAGCTGCATTTGTTTGTAGTGTGCCGTCACAGCTGACCGTGTAGGAAGAACAGTTCAACTAATGGGACATTCATTAGATCTTTGTTAGTGCAAGTCTGAAACAGGAAAACTCACCCTCTGAGCCCGTGCATGCTCCTCTCTCGCTTTCTTTACCCGCTCTTGTTTCTCCTTGACCTCCTTCTCATCTCTCTTACGCTGGTATTTGCGTCTGTGCTCAATGATTTTGGTGGCCTGAAAAACAAAAAGAGGGAAACAGGACAAGAATGAGGAACCACAAACTCACAGCTGGCATCAGAATCACGTGAACACATCACAAATAGGGATCAACTCCTCCCTTCTGAGCTTGCACACATTACAATAGCATATCTGCATTAATGTTATGACAAACTCATTTAAAAGAGGCCGTTTTTCCCTGGCCTTATACCTTCGGCTGGACCTCCTTCAGCATCGCACTGGTGTCCTCGTCATAGTCCAGTTTACAGGCCATGGCCAGGTCCTTGGCTGCCTCCTCCCAGTGGCCCAGCAGCCTGCATTTGGAATTGACGATCAATGAAAACCTTCACAACTGTCAACTTTTCATCTGGGAAAACTCTAAGTAGCAGCGATAACTGACGTTATCCCTCCGTTAGAGATACAACACGTTTTCTATCAGATTGCAAAACCTATTTATATCTTGGTACTTCAAAAAAGATCTGGTTGATACGGAGATATACATTAGCTGTTGTGTGTGGCATAAAGATGATTACATAACTGCACTAACAATGATAGCACACTATATGATTAAACTAAATGTTACTCGTGAGAGCAACCCTGATGTGGGTTTATTCTACATCACTGGTCCTGTTGTAACTCAGTTCGCTCAGCTGAGGAAATATTAAATGCCAAACAAGATGAGGCGTGTCATACTTTTGGGTGTTTACACTGAGGGTTTGGTTATGCAACGTGTCTGTAGAGGTGTCAAATACAAATGTACCTGTGAGCTTTTCCCCTCCACTTGTAAGGCTGTGCAGAGTCTGGGTTGATGCTCATGGCTCTGTCACAGTCTCTGATGGCCGCGTTGGGTTTCTGCATCTGGATAAAGACGCTAAACAGAAAAGAGGACAACTGGTTACACTCGGTCCTTCATGACAGACACTTAACAGGAGCAGTCATGAAGCTTAAAGTCACAATTAAAAGCTGAATGATACTTGAATGCTCTCCCGTAGCATGAAAAAGGCCCCGAGGACTCTCACCTTGCCCTCTTGGCGTACATGATGGCGACGCAGGGGTTCAGCTTGATGGCTTCAGTAAAAAGATCCAGAGCTTTCTGCAGATCACCTATAAAAGAAAAAACAGACACAGGTATTAAAAGATCATAAATCAAAGTCTTTTTATGTACCTCATCAATACAGAAACTGTGCCTGCGTGCGGTCCTCCTACCTTCTCCCAGAGCATCAATGGCCGCCATCTTCTTCTCACTGGCCTCGTCCATCATCTCTTCTGTGACCTGAGGAAATGTATGGACACAGATGTTCACACTACTGCGCTTTCAAGTGGTCAAGGCTTAGTTATTTTTTTTTTTTTCCAGGCCTGGAATAAAATACCAAGTATACTTAAGTAGCTGCATGCATGATTAATAGACAATATAGAAAACATTTGACCTCGATGCTGTCAAACTCTCCCATCTCCTGCGGCTCATCGGTGTCTGGTTCGATCACTCCCTCGTTGTCCATTTCTGAAACGGATCCAACGTTTACAAAGAGCTCTTGTTGGTACACACAAACAACACCCACTACTCTGAGAACATGGCGTAGTCTTCACAGTAAGAATACACATGCTTAGCAACATTTTGCTAAGATCAGGTGTAATTTATCACATAAAACAATTACTTTGAGAAAAGAAATTTGGAGTCTGACTGTCCCAACTCTTACCCACCCAGTTACAATAAATAAATTAACTAAAGCAATGTCTATTTAAAAAAAAAAAAAAAAAAAAAGTACATATTTGCAAGTTGTGCAGACGCACATATTTAGTGAATAAATAATACACTTGACTGTTTGGCTTTTTTAAATATCTGAACAGACCAAAGTTCATGTGCAGAGCCTTCCTTTATCGAGGGTTGCACCATCTCCGAAAAGACAGCCTTAAGCTGGAGTCCTGCACCTATTATTATACCTTAGACATTATGCTTTGGGAAATATGCTTATTTGCAGAGTTGGTTGAGAAGATTGATAGGACTCTCATGCCTGTACGGTAAATATGAACAGAACTTGGCATGAGATTGAACCAGCTAGCTAAGCTCTGTCTAAAGAAAGACAAAAACCCCAAATGTAAACAGGACGGGTTCATTGTTTGGCCAGGGTTTACATGCCGCACCTATATACTCTTGTCCCTTGAGGCCAGAGCTACGATTTAAGAAACTGTGTACCTATATCACTCTCATCATTCTCAGACTGGACAGGAGGCGCTGGCTCAAAAGGTGGGGCTGATGTAGGGGGAGGACCACAAGGACAGCCACCCTAAAAGTCAGAGAGCAGTGTGTTACAACAAGGGGTCAATAAAACTAAAATATCAAAAGTATCTTAGAAAAGACATAATAGTAATATTGCCGTGTCACCTGGCATGGCTTCTCCGTCTTGGGTTGGGGAGGGATTGTTGCACCCATGCTGGAATATAAAATGGAGGACAATTCAGAGAGCAATACAAGGGCCATTACATTCTATTTAATAGATATACCAAAACAGATGTGCTTATTTTACATATGGACATTTTCTCAGTAAAGTTCCGCTGAAAATGTACTTTATATCACTAAAATATACGCATGTAATGGCAATATAAACATATGTATACTCGACAGGTTATGAGTCATTGCGAATATCAAACATATAGGGGAAAACAACGTTACATGTCATCAAATATAAATAAACGTTTCTTTGTTGAATGAGGGGCTTTGAATGTTCTTGATTTAAGTTGCATGTGATCATGTTTTTGCGACAAACGCGCGCGCAGACCCAGCATGCGGTCCATGGTGGTTTTACTGGAAGGTGGGCGGGACTGGGCACGTGATAAGCTCGCAGTCGGTTCGGGGTTTTCTTTAGATAGCCTACTTTAGTGACATAATGACAGAATGCATCCCTTATGAATCTTTCCCATAACAACCAGAGTCCCCGCATGGTGGCTTTACAGGCTGGTATACTGACCCCAGCAACCAGGTCCGGAAGAAGCTCATCTCTGGAAGGTGCAGGATATCGGCACTGGCCTCGCACATCTGTACGAAGCCCTTTAACTCTGTCACTTTTCGCGGGTCCATGCTGCTCAGTCACGTCCAGCAGACAGCGCGCTGCGTGTGGGGGAGGAAACCAGAAAGACAGACAATGAAGCTAACAACTTAGCCAAGTCAGACTGTGTTTACGGTTTCAGCCGCTAAAACCAGCGTCGTTAAGCTAAGTGTGCTAACAAGGGAGCGCTTTCAGCCTCACTTTGTTCACTGCCCACTTCACATAAACCCAACAACACGTGCAATTAAGGGGATACAAATAAAGCAACCGTGCACAACTAGCATTAACGGCTATTTCAAGGGTCGCAAGACAGAAGTTTCTAGAAATGTGAATCCGTGAGTGACGCGGTAGCCCTTTGACGCATGATAACGTTAGCTAGCTGCAACACGGGCCGTGCGTAATGAAGAACACTCGGTATCTGCGGACATGAATGTCTGTAATCGAAGGGAAACGCACCTGTGAGAAATATACACCGTTCACACTCGATAGGTGAACCCGCAGAGGAAGCTTACTGGTGATTTTTATTGCCACAACTCTTCTTCACTGGTAGTGACAGAGGCGTTGCTGCTGTGTTTTCATTCAGGCGAGTTGTCGGACGAAAGGACGGAGGACCTGGGATTTTGTTGCCCTGAGTTTGGGCTTTCGGGCAGCTCATACAAATCCGTAACAGCTGCTGGAGTTTATATTATTACTGGTCTTGATTCCAAACGATTCCAAATCAGCCCTTGTTTAGCAGGATGAAGAATTCAGGTCATTTACTTAAAAGTAGCAATTATGCAATATGAAAATTCTCCATTGCAAGAAAAAAGTCCACTGTAACTATTATACATTGTATGATTGGATTAATATATATATAAATATATATAAATATAT